TAAACCGGAGGACCCGGAGAAAACTCACGAGGTTGGACTGGCGACCCTACTCCTTGTCACATACAACCCGGGAATCAAAACCATGCCAGTTGACTCAATGACAGACCTTATGATACAGTGCTCACATGCTAACCATTCGGCCATACATGTAACTCCAGAAGAAATTTACAGAAATTATTGAAATTAAATTGGATTCTTCATCTCACTAATGTAAACAACATATATCAATTTCAAAACAATCAGATAATAAATGTAGTCTGTAAGTGTTCACAAGAAATTATGGATGGACTGGGCGAGGGCAATATATTATATACAAACACATGTTCATGTGGGCGTATAAAATAAATAATGCAAAACGACTATATTGAAAATTTCATTCAAATTACTTTATTTTTAGCGAAGTTATCAATGGTTGTAGTTTTGACAAGATATGTGAATTGATCATATCCACCATACTAGTCACTCCAGTCTTAGTTTCGCTTCTACATTTTTAATATAAATCATTAAATGGTCGAACCATTCTAATCTACTTAAAATCTGATGGCAATGAGATTTGATTATGGTCTTGCCATGTTAATAAATGTCTAATTAATAATTTATATAACATTTATGGCCCAAAGAGAGAGATCTGATATAGGCAGATTTAGCTCTTACATAATGCCTGTTTAATTAAGAAATCAAAATCCAACAACAGCATCGCTACCACTGCAATATACGTCCACATTCCTGCTTTGATTGATATGGTACTTTTTAAAATGAACAAGCCAACAGTGAGGCTGATGTCCCCCGCCGAAATAGGAAAATAATTAGAGGACACATATAAATTTATCACAAATTATTCTTTACAAAGTATTGAACAATCAAACAGTATATCTTTACTTATAGTCTAACAATCAAAGTAGGAGAGTTATTGTTTTCCAAAGTCTCGACCAATCAAATTGCGTATCGCTCTGCTTACCCTGAGCAGAAAATGCTCATTATCAAACTTAGTCAAGGTATTACTGTAATGAAACTATACACCAAGTTTCATCAATCTCACTTAATTAGAACTAAAGTTATCGTGTCCCAAAGCATCAACCAATCAAATTGCTTATCTCTGCTTACCCTAAGCGGAAAATGCTCATCTTCGAACTCCATCAAGGCATTGACCTAATCAACACATACACCAAGTTTGAACATTCTAGCTCAATTAGGAAGAGAGTTATCGTGCCCCAAAGTATCAACCAATCAAATTGCTGCTTACCCTGAGCAGAAAATGCTCATTATCAAACTTAGTCAAGGTATTACTGTAATGAAACTAAACACCAAGTTTCATCAATCTCACTTAATTAGAACTAAAGTTATCGTGTCCCAAAGCATCAACCAATCAAATTGCTTATCTCTGCTTACCCTAAGCGGAAAATGCTCATCTTCGAACTCCATCAAGGCATTGACCTAATCAACACATACACCAAGTTTGAACATTCTAGCTCAATTAGGAAGAGAGTTATCGTGCCCCAAAGTATCAACCAATCAAATTGCTTATCTCTGCTTAGCCTAAGCGGAAAATGCTCATCTTCGAACTCCATCAAGGCATTGACCTAATAAACACATACACCAAGTTTGAACAATCTAGCTCAATTAAAAGTTATCGTGTCCCAAAGCATCAACCAATCAAATTGCTTATCTCTGCTTACCCTAAGCGGAAAATGCTCATCTTCGAACTCCATCAAGGCATTGACCTAATCAACACATACACCAAGTTTGAACATTCTAGCCCAATTAGGAAGAGAGTTATCGTGTCCCAAAGCATCAACCAATCAAATTGCTTATCTCTGCTTACCCTAAGCGGAAAATGCTCATCTTCGAACTCCATCAAGGCATTGACCTAATAAACACATACACCAAGTTTGAACATTCTAGCTCAATTAGGAAGAGAGTTATTGTGTCCCAAAAAGTGTGACGGACAGACAGACGGACGGACAGACAGACGGACGAACCCATTTTAATAGTCCCCTGCTTTCTTCGAAAGGCGGGGGACAAAAACATGAAATATGAAATGGTAACAATGACTGTAATATGACAAAAGGCAAAGAAGGCTGGGCGTTGGGGTTTGTTTTACCAAATTTACAGACTAAATATTAACAAAATAGTGGGTGTGACACCACCCCCGGGGGGTCTCGGCATGCACCAAAGTAAATAGTTGCTGTCTTTGTGATATAAGGAATAAATATACAAAGTTCCAATTAACAAAAAAGTGGGGATCAGGACATACACCAAAATAAATAGTTGCTATCCTTACGGTATAAGGAATAAATATACCAAGTTCCAAGATGATCCTTTCAGAATTCCATCCATTAGACAGACAACCAGCGGCTGCCAGACAGGATACGCCCACATTTTTGAGAGATGGATAGAGAACAAGCTAAAAAGAAAGTGATTTTTCGTACAATCTGGGGCCATAATTCAGGAAGTTACTGTCCGATATGCGCGAATATCGAAAGGAACCGAGATCCTTGGGTTATAATCATACATTTCAAGTTTAAACTAAATCGGATAAAAATTGTGACCTCTACAGTGTTCACAAGCTAAAAACGTGATTTTTCGTACAATCAGGGGCCATAATCAATGAAGTTACAGTCTGATACATGCCAATATCGAAAGGAACCGAGATCTTAGGGTGATAAACCTATATTTCAAGTTTCATTGAAATCGGATAAAAATTGTGACCTGTAGACTGTTCACAAACAATTGTGGACGGACGGACGGACAGGAGTGACGACAATATACGTCCACATGAAAATTTGGGCGTATAAAAACACAAAAATTGGGCGTGGCCCTACCCCTGGGGGCTGGACATGGACCAATATAAATAGGTACAACCCTATGATGGATAATACTGAATTGGATCCAAATCTGTTAATAATTGCAGTCTATACATTATTTACAGACAAAATATTAACACATGAACCAAAATTAATAGTTGCCAACCTTAGGATATAATGAATAAGTATACCAAGTTCCAAGATAATCCATCCAGAATGACTATAAGGAATACATATGCAAAGTTTCAAGATGATCCATTCAGAATTGTGGCCACTATACGATAAACACAAAAATGTTATAACTTAAAATGTAGGAACCAGTCAAATAGAGGACATGTAAATGTATAATAGTATGTGATCGATGACTTTAAAATTCTTTTAAAGAGGGGCATACCTAGGTCTACTGTGCATCTATTTATAAATATGATGTTCGAAGCACGTCTGCATCTGCTACTGACTGTAACTGTGACATGACATGTAACTGTTAAGAATTCTAAGATACTGTTGGCAGCCCTTACTGACTGTAAGACTCGTATCTACTTTTGTAACAATTATGCCCTATAAAATAACATGTACCGAAAGTTATACAGGTCATGTTTCTATTACTGAATTTTAGATAACACATGTATATGTTCCTATAAGACACCACATGTATATGTTCCTGTAAGACACCACCATATGTATGTGTTCCTGTAAGACACCGCCACATGTATATGTTCCTGTAAGACACCACCACATGTATGTGTTCCTTTAAGACACCACATGTATATGTTACTGATTAAAGATCCTCAGTTTATCTGTTATCTATTACTGATTAAAGATATTCCATGTATCTGTTACTGACAGATATCTATACACGATGTGAATAAATTACTGATTAAAGATTCCCTGTGCATCTGTTACTGTAATAGACCGTGTGTAACTGTTATTGACTGTAAGTCAATGTTTTGATAAATCACCCCTCGAGCCTGTTACACTTTGTATACTTGTGACCGTAGGACACAGCATGCACCTGTTACTACTGATTGTAAGATTGTAACCGTGTTATAATTTGTAAGACACCCTGTGTACTTGTATCTGTTACTATTCATACAACACAACATGTAAGTGCTGTAACTGTCACATGACATGTAACTGCTACAAATTCTAAGATATTGTTGGCAGCCATTGCTGACTGTAAGAAATGCATCTGTTGCTTACTGTGATACACGACATGTGTATGTTACTCCGTTTATCTGTTACTAACTGACGCATCTATTACTAAGTCCCTGATACAGATTGTAAAACATCACGTGTATCTGTTATTGTAAGACAACATGTTTATATCTGTTACTGATAAACACAGCATGCATATATATTCATAAGTCACGAGGTGTATCTGTTACTGACTGTAAGACACAGCATTTATTACTAGGAACCAAAACATGTATCTGTTAGTGATTGTAAGACACTATGTACCATGAATATTATGTTGTATTCGTTTTCACTTACTATCCAAAGTGGCGTACGTCACTCTGTGAACTGACAGTCAAGTGACCATTTGTGTGTGTGTTGTGTAACCATTAACCGAGGACCTTGTATTAATTGGCATAAATGAAGACACGACAATTTTTCTTGATAAAAAAAACGCCAAAGACACCGATACACCCTGACGGTACAGAACCGCTTTATCGAAGTATGAATTATAATCAAGTGATTTTTACAGATATATCTATTTTGGGGCTTCTGAGCATGCCTGGATAGCCATGTCCGCAAATAGAAGGTTTAAATCCTTATGTATGACACACACATAAACACACATGCATGCACACGCAAACACACAGAGAGGGGCGAAGGCATTATGAATGTGGACATATAAAAATCAATTGTGGATAATTTTCCTTCTAGGAATTCAATTGGATCAAAAATAGGCTCTGGCTGCAGTGGATGCTCAATGTATTTTCAATTCATCATATGTTTGTTAACACTGAATGCTGAAAGGAACAGCACCCTTTTTGGACTGACATATTTTCTTTTAGAAATTTAATTTTCACAACTGTAGTTTGCAAAAGATTCATTAATAATCTCTATCATGATGATCAGAGACTATAATGACTTGTTGAATATAGCAATTTTAAGATTAAGGATAGACTGATGTTAATATAAAATACAGAATAAACAAATGTATATGTATGTATTCTGAATACCAATCTGGGTGTCTCCATAAGCCCAAAGCACATAGGGGATGCTCGATTGAACGTTCCGGAATTGAATTCTCTCAATCCCAAAAATAGTGTCAATCGAGTGAACAGGAGAATTTCGGAATACAACGCATGTGCCGACTGCACAAAAAATATCTCAACCAATCATGGCAGCTGAAACATATTTGCTATTTAAAATACGTCACGATTCTACTCACACCACCTCAGCTGTTGGGACTGGCAGAACTGTGACAGGACTTAATTCCGTATCACTTGATTGCGATTCTGTCAATTCGGGACGTTCCGGACTGACAATCGAGCACCCACATAGTTAACCAACCAATTTTCAACTGTTAAATTTTACAATACCTGACTGAACCATTAAATAAAACTGGATCTTGAGATATTATAGATAACCTTGACCTCAGATCATTTAAATGAACATCTCGTATATCTAGTCCATCTATTAAGATTTGACCTTTAGCTATTTCTAATGCACGGAATAAAGCCAGTGTTAGAGATGATTTACCACTTCCAGTTCTTCCACAAATACCAACCTGAAATAAACAATCTATTTATTTCGGTATACATCAACTGTAATCAGTCCATACAGTCCATTCTTTAGCTATTTAAAAATAAAACATGTTTACTTATTCATAACTTTTGTCGAATATAGCAATACTGAGATACAACACCTTTTTTCGGTAAAATATATGTAGTAAATCCTTATTAACTTGCTCAGTATGTCAGAAACAATAGGTGAATTAACGAACAATTTACAGGTATTAAACATAACAGACCGAAACTTGTTGCAATGCATTTTAACCTTGCAGTACACATGAGCAGAAAAGTTAGGATAAAAATGACTGAGATTTTCAAATTCAAGACAATTTCCTCATAGTGATGTGGCAAAAACGATGCCACTAGAAAAGCCTATGAATTCAAATTGATCTGACGATGGAGAAAATTCATTTTTTACACCACTGAAATGTTACTTTACACTAACCTTTTGTGATGCTTCAATAATTAAGTTGATATTTTTAACAACTGGTTCTAATGTAATATCATAAGTTAATGTAACATCTTTATATTCTATACAGCCTTTATCTGGCCAGTTATTCTCCATACTCTTACATTTATCTACAATTATACAAAGCAAATTTACAATTATACTTTTACATTTATCTACAATTATACAAAACAAATGTAGTTATACTTTTACACTTATCAACTAATACAAAAGAAATATTTTATTTCCACACCTAGCTACGATCAAATGAGATGATGATTAATGTCCTACTGTTCTGCACCAACTAGACAAATGCACTACAATCAAACAAATAATATATTTACATAGTTGCTATCAAAAATCACAGAAAAAGGAATGAACACAAAAAATGGATGTGAAAAAGTAACATACCTTCATCTTTAAATTCTGTGGGTATTTCTGTATATTCTAAAACTCTTTCTACAGCATTCATAGCCATTTCTACTTCAGCTGATGTACGTACTATCCAGTTTAATAAACCTGACATCTGATATACAAATAAACTACATTTAATTTATTGCTATCCTTGGCTGTACTCATAATTAATGTATTCAATACAAGAAAATGAATATCCACTTTATTGTGAACAAACTTCTTAATAAATGGTAATTATTATATGACAATTTCTTTTATCCTTGCAAGATAAAATTATATGCAACTTATACCTTTCTAAGAAACAATCTATGTAAATCAAAAGAACTTTTATAAAATGGCATACATCCACACTAAATAGACAACAATTACATGCCATATTTTAGAGTCCACAGTGTGTCCACACTGAATCAAAATAACACACTGTGCATACTACATGTATATTATCTAACTTTATACAACATATGGAGGTTACAATCTGTCCACAGATATATCATCAAAAGTCTTTCATCTTTATATTTATTCCTTACAATAAAATATTTCCACTTCTGCTTATAATTCACAGAAGGCATTTCTTACAACAAACAAATACCATGGACGTATAGAATGTATTATTTTCAATGTAGGTCTTAAAATTTTGACTAAGATTCTTGTGGGTGTTTATTTAAACTCGGTCACTAACGAATAACTTCAAAGTAAAAAATGCTGTTAGTTGATTGTATGATGTCCCCCGCTAAAATCCCAAAATAAATAGATAACACATATTAATTAATTGCACATTTTTAAACAGTATCGAGCAATCAAACTGATCATCTATAGTTAGTCTACGAGCAGAAAATGTTCACAATCAAACTCAGTCAGGTTTCAAAGTACCTTGTAGTGAAACTACACACTAAGTTTCATCACTCTCCATTAGTTAGAATCAAAGATATCTTATCCCAAAGCATCGACAAATGTAATTGCTTAGCTCTGGTTAGCTTCAACGGGAAATATTAATCACTGAACTCAGTCAAGACATTCGCCTAATAAACATCTATACCTCAATTAAAACCAGAGTTGTTATGTTCCAAAGTATTGACCAATCAAATTGCTTATCGCTACATAGCCTACGCAGAAAATTCTCATCATCGAACTTAGTCAATGTATTAATATAATGAATCTATACTCAAGAGTTTCATCGCTCTCACCCAATTAGAACCAAAGTTCCTAAGTCTCAACCAATCAAATTGCTTATCTCTGCTTAGCCCTAGTGGAAAATGCACATGATCGAACACTGTCAAGGTATTCACCTAATAGACACCTACACCAGAGAGAGAGAGAGAGAGAAATGGGGTTTAACGTCCACGTCATAATCCAGGTCATTTCGGGACAAACATATGGTACAATTTTATTTCAATAATTCGCTTGCACATAGGGGTCTTTAGCAGTGGGAGGAAACCAGAGGACCCAGAGAAAACCCACGAGGTTGGACAGGCGACCCTACCCCTTGAAACATACAACCCGGGAATCAAAACCACGCCAGTCAGTTGACTTGATGACAGACCTTATGATACAACACACACCTGCTAACCATTCGGCCCTCCAACCCCCCACACCTACACCAATTTTGAACATTCTACCTCAATTAGAAGGAGAGTTATTGTGTTCCAAAGTCTCGACCAATCCGATTGAAACCTCTACTTTGTTAAGGTATTGGTTTTGTGACTATCCCTCAATTAGAATCAAAGCTGTTGAGCTCCAAAGTTTCGACCAATCAAATTGCTTATGGCTCTGCTTACCCTGAGCAGAAAATACTCATTATCGAACTTGGTCAAGGTATTGATGTAATGAAACTATACACCAAGTTTCATCACTCACTTAATTAGAACTAAAATTATCGTGTCCCAAAGCATCAACCAATCAAATTGCTTATCCCTGTTTACTAAGTAGAAAATTCTCATCTTCGAACTCCATCAAGGCATTCACCTAATGAATGCCGACACCTTGTTTGAACATTCCAGCTCCATTAGAAGGAAAGTTATTGTGTCCCCAAGAGTGTGACGGACAGACCTATTTTAATAGTCCCCTGCTTTGTTCGAAAGGTGGGGGACAATAAATCACATATATAAAGTGCTATTCCACAAAAGAATTCTGACTATTTAACGATTCAGAGACAAAAGATAAGCTGAAAATGCTTCTTCATTATCATATTTGATCTGCCTGATTTATGACCTGTATAGAGTATCAACATCCAGGGTATTCCAAAATGCTAATTACTAATTGAACAATTTAATTAGAGAATATGATGAATAAAAGGGTAAAATAGATGACCAGAATTTTTTGATGAATGGTTTTATTACAAGTGCTAAAAACTACACATACCAATAATGAATAGGTAATAGATAAACCTATAAATGCTGGATTGGTATTTCCTAGTATACCTGATGTCAAACTGGCTATAGAAGATACAAACACAAGTAAACAGCCTAAATAATCCTACAAATAATAATATATTATAAATTATAACAATATCTTTTGTCTAGATCGCTACAGCCATAATTGTATCCACTTTGACTTGCAATGATTATTTGTCTGGACAAAAAAGCATCAAATGTGTATAAAGTAACTAGCCGTCTGACCAGCTAACAATAATTCTGCATATTTCTAGCACAAGATAATGGTCATTTTCCTCTCGACTGATCGTAGGATGTACAGAAATCTCTGTACAAACTTTGACATAGACATTATTTTATTCCATTACCCAGATCAATATTTGTTGTCATCAGATGGATAGAGACTTGGGGCTGCAGTGACAAAAACAACATAAATTGTCTATTGATATATTTTCAGTTATTTGTACATATCAGTCACTTGAAAACCAAATTTGGTGTCTCATCATCCAAGCTGATTAAATACAGAGTGTTAAACTCTATATCTCCCACTAAGATTATGAATAAAGTACTTACTAATCTGATACCAAGCCATCTATTAGTTGTATGTAAAAATAGAAATGGTATAACGTTATGATCTATTGAAGTCATAGCGCGTTGTTGAAATTCCCCTTGAGCTCTGAAATTATAATTTCATAACATTTTACATATAGAGATTTATTATGTTCATGTGAATCATGAGTATTAAATTAATGTCTGTGGTAATATTTATTCCTCACATTAAAATCAATTTGTCCATTCAATGTAGAATGACCATATTCAATATAGAAATACAATGATCTTTTTCGATAGAGAATGATCATTTTCAATATAGAATGATCATTTTCAATACAGAATAATCATTTTATATGAGAATGACCCTATTTAGCACAGAATGACAGTGTCCAGGATAGAAGATCGTACCTGTCAAAATAGAATTAACCTTTTCACTACAGATTGACTTGATCTGTCATAGATGAACCTTTTCAATACAAAATGACCCTATTCACCATAGAATATCATGTATCTCTGTATCACTGTAAAGCTACATTAAAAGATCTAGAAGTAATGTATTGCAACTTACTTGTATGCTCGAATAGTTTGAAGGCCAGATAAAGTTTCAGAAAAATGAGCAAAAATGGGTGACTTTGAAACACTATCTAATCGTTGAAGTTCTCTGGAAAAAGAAAGTAAGTTCTGATCAAGTTTGGCTGATGTGAAGCATACAAGGTCAGTATTTTTCAAATAGAGAAGTCTAGATTTGTACTAATTTCAACACATTAAAGATACATTGTCCCTAAAGTATTTATCGGGTGGTTATTTCCAATAAAAGTATGGAAAATTTGGTATATATGGAAAATATAGACCCCCCATCTTACTGGAAAAGGAGGGGGGGTTGGGGGGTTGGATGGTCGAATGGTTAGCACGTGCGTGCTGTATCATAAGGCCTGTCATTGAGTCAACTGGCGTGGTTTCGAATCCCCAGTTGTACGTGACAAGGAGTAGGGTCGTCTGTCCAACCTTGTGGGTTTTCTCAGGGAATTATTGAAATAAAATTAAACCATGTTAGTCCCAAAATGACTTGGTTTGTGTCGAGTGGACGTTAAACCCCATTTCTCTCTCTCTTACTGGAAAAATACTGGACTACCCGAAAAACACCCACGGGGTAAGCACAAATGTCAAGGTATCACTAACTGGCCTCCCGACTGTTGTCTGTCAGCTTATTGTGTGCTGGCTTGACTGAGGGAGCGGTTGTTATTTCTTTATCAAATGGTTAGGTGGTTTTGGGAACATTGAGGGGTGTCAACGTACAAAAGACTCTGCAATTAAACCAAGGAAAATAATTAAGAATTCACTTAAGTCTCAATATGTATGATAAATCGATAGTAAGAAACGAAAAATACATTCTGAAACACGGACCCTCCCTAAATGAATTGAGCTGATTGACATGGTGCCTAACAACAGTTTATTTATAGCATGAAGTATCTCAAGATGAATACAATGTTTTGAGAGGGATTTGAAGCAAATTTTTGATAGATTGATTAGTTTGAATATGGTTTTAGTCCAAATATATCATTAAATCGCACGGTTTATAAGTGGGAAAGTATCTTTAAGTTTAAGGTGATCTTTGAAAATGTGTAACTTTAATATTGCTCATAGGCTGAAGCATGATCAAGCTAGGGTTGTCACGATTAATCAGTTTAGTCGAAGTCGATTCAGTTTCTAGCTCAAACCGATTCACATTTTGAAAAATCGATAGTCGTTTCATCCAATTTATATTGATACAATTACATATATTATATATAATGTTTGACTTTTACTGTCTGCTAAACACACTGCTGAATTGCTGCCTATTAAAACTGTATTGAAACTACATCTTTTAAGACTCAATACAGCAATTTCACACAATCTAGATATAGCATGTAATTCTTCACCTACCATATTAGGCATGACTTGCTACGAAATGTGTAAAATAGTTGATTTTGGCACCGATAGCTTTAAACGGTCATGTCCAACGATAACATGGACTGAATGCATGCCAGACAAGACAGGGAAGTTGGCTATGCCTTTTTACCAGTGATTAAACTACCAATGTAATTTTAATAAAATACCATTTAATAAAGAAGAAAACATTGTGCCAACAATATAATGAAAAGATCCTCTCAGACATTCCTCCTGTATAAATTAATTTTAAAACCAGTTGTAATATATTATTCAATTCACAGTCAGAATGTGTTGTTACTGTGTACTAGGCAACGAATATACGAGTTCCCAAACCTGACATTACCAGTCAGGAGACTCTTCTATTCATCTCACTTCGGCATATGTTGTTGCCTTTTTAAGTGACACAAGTTTTTTTTCTATTTGTAACGTCTTCTCTTGTTGCTTTCCGTCAATATGATTATCGCTATATATATTTTAAAATATTATGTACAGGAATTTTTATACTAGTGAATTGTAATCTATTGCCAGTATTGGATTTTTAATTAGCAGTTAAAGCTGTAGGGGTAAGTCTGAACACGAGAATGTCTTACTCAGCTCAACCGTGTAACTAATATCAAAACTAATGACTTAGTGTTGTTTATTGCCAATTTAAACGATTTATTCTAACATCTCTTTAGCACAAACTCAAAGACATGTCCTAAAAAAATATACAATCAGCTATTCACACATCATTTTATAATTTACTTATCAACAAACAATCAAACGAGAAAAACCTCATAACTCAGTACAGACAATGACATTATTAGCCAATGAAAGAACCATTTATTTTACATTATTATAGAATTTATACAGCATCTGATAAAATCCACAACGATACGATTTTTGGCTAGCCGATTCAAGAATTTTGTGATCGTGACAACACTAGATCAAACAGATAATATACTTACCGAGCTGAACTTCTAAAGAAACGTTGAAGACAATAATATAGAAATATTAATGGAATGGCAGCTAACAGGAAATACGGTGTGGCAATAGAATTGACAACAATAGCAGAGAAAGTATATAACAATGTTCTTAATACTCCTTCAATATTAGCTGCTAATTTCTGAAAATATAAGAGATAATGTAAAATTAATTTTATCCATTCCTTTTCAACAGTTGAATATAAAAAAAACAATGCTTAACCATTACAATAGCATTTTGTCAGTGAACATATTCGAAAAAATTTGAATTCTCTACATTACATACAGATATGTTTTAAGGTTTTTATCTTACCTGATCAATATTTGTAACATCACCAGAAAATCGGTTTAAAACTCTACCACTGGGATTGGTATCAAAAAACCTATAAATATAGATCAAACTTATAAATATAGATCATACTTATCAACCTAAAAATATAGATCAAACTTATCAACAATAAAAACATCTTTTAACTCATGCATGCTATTATGATAACAGATGAGATTTTGAGATGAAATGAAATGGTGTTTAACGTACTACTTTCTGCTCCGACCGGCCAATTGAAGACGGGCAAATGCCATACAGTGTGCTATGAGGGGAATTTTGCCCGGACATTGGCACTATGCCCGACTCATATTCTGAAATTCCAACTGTTAAGGGTTCTTGTAAGTGCACCCAATATGAACATGGGACTTCAGTTTTTGAGACAAGTATGTTTACCTGGATACATGATACTAAATCACAAAATGAAATGATTGGGTATCATTGACAGGTTCCCATTTAGGAAGTCCATTTACTATTTACTCAAATTTACCATTTTTATTGTATGGACTCCCTGTCTTTGATTCCCCATTAGAATTTATTACGGACAGTTTTAGTATACATATTATTTTTCTGTTTTTTAAACCAGCGGCTGCCAGGTAGGATACGCCCACATTTTGGAGAGACGGATAGAAATGAAATGAAATGGAGTTTAACGTCCTACTGTTCTGCTCCTAACCTGGGCTAATGAAGACTGGAGATGGATAGAGAACAAGCTAAAAAGAAAGTGATTTTTCCTACAATCAAGGGCCATAATTCAGGAAATTACAATTCGATATGCGCAAATATCAAAAGGAACCGAGGTCTTTGGGTTATAAACTTACATTTTAAGTTTCAACAAAATATGATAAAAATTGTGAACTCTATAGGGTCCACAACCTTGATATACCATATTTTTACGCTATTTGAGAACGAAGGGCGGCCATTTTGTCTGTTAGTTTTGGGCCGAGTAACGGTGACATAATAATACATTTTTTTAAATCGGATAAAAATTATGACCTCTATAGGGTCCACAAGCTAAAAACGTGATTTTTCGTACAATCAGGGGCCATAATTCAGGAAGTTATGTTCCGATATGCGCAAATATCGACACTAACTGAGATCTTTGGATTATAAACTTACATTTCAAGTTTCAACAAAATCGGATAAAAATTGTGACCTCTATAGGGTCCACAAGCTAAAAACGTGATTTTTCGTACAATCAGGGGCCATAATCCATGAAGTTACAGTCGGATACATGCCAAAATCGAAAGGAACCGAGATCTTAGGGTGATAAACCTATATTTCAAGTTTCATTGAAATCAGATAAAAATTGTGACCTGTAGACTGTTCACAAACAATTGTGGACGGACGGACGGACGGACGGACAGGGGCGACGACAATATACGCCCACATGAAAATGTGGGTGTATAAAAAAACTTTTTAATTCAAATCCATCATAAATTCCCACATTGTTATATATGATATTGAAATGATGTTGGTGACAATGGTAATGGTGAATATAATGATGATATGATCATATGACTATGATAGCAAGGATCACAACAGAATATAATACTTTTACTTCAAAGTATGATGTTTTAAATTATATATCTGATAACACCATATGCAATAAAGTATCATATGGAAACTGATTTGCATAGGCTTTGCTTTAAAGGAGCTAATTCGCTAATATTTGGGACCTAGAAATTGACACAAATAGGTTGCAATGCATATGATAATGTAATGTGAATGTACATGCATATAAAATGATTTACATTCAATCGTTATGTTCAGTTATATTCAGCGAAATACGCCAGAATTCTCAAACGAATGGCTATCTCTAGCGTATGGTTACTCCAGTCTACACCAAAAGTATTTACTGCACATGCTCTCCAGATAAGAATATGGTGTCGCGGTTTGACATGACATGTCTAGCCTTTTTCTTCGAGTCCCTTGTTACAAATGGCGGTGAAACGCATTATGGTACACGATTCATGTACCAATGGTAAAATGTTTATTTTGTCTTAAATATTGGATATCAGAAGCCCATCTATTCCCAGTAAGATCACAACATCAATGTTGATTTAAATTGACAAATAATTCGTGTTTTCAATGTCGAAGACAATACATGATATTAAGTTAGAGACTTAGCTACTTTAAAACTTGTTTCCGAATCTATAACATTTATTATGCACTTTATAATGTACAAAGACAAATCAATGTTCTATGGTAATAAATATTTTTTAAATCAAGATATATCTCACATATACACAGTCATTTCACCTGATTTTGTGTTGCTTGTTTTGGTATCTGTATATTTATCTTATAATAATGTATATAGATATAAATATAATACTGTATATATACAAACCTAATTGGCAAACTGACAACATTCTGTAACATGCCATTATATAATACTCTAGCTCCAAACAAGCATGCATAATGTAATACTAATGTTGAGATCAAGGCAACACCAATAGAACTCATTGATAATGCAGCATATAATTTTACATATGGACCATTATCAAAATGCTGTGGAGAAAAGAAAAGTAATTTCAACAATCATTATTAAAAGAATCATATTTCAGCAAGAAAAATACTGTTAAACAAAAAATTAAAGCTTACTGAAATTAATCCTACCTACGCCAGTAATAACATCGCATAATTTTTAAAAAAAACCTACAAGGACCATTTATCACAACTTTTACTTATCAATTTGTTTTAAGGGGTGTTAAAGATGGGTTCCCACAAAAGTATTTATCGGGTGGTTATTTCCAATAAAAGTATGGAAAGTAGAGATATCCAATCTTACTAGAAAAATACTGGATTCCTCGAAAAACACTCATGGAGCGTATACAGGACAAAAATGCAAGGGTTCCCCTAATCGACAGCCCGACGATTAGGAATTTCTGCACGCGTGATGTCAAAGGTCATAAGTAAACACTGAACGCTTGATGTACAAGTTGATAAACTTTATGAAGAGTTAGACGTACAACACTTTCTGAGATAAAAATGACGGAAAAAGACGTAGGTAGTGGATAATCCGAGAATTTAATTAGGATTCAATATTTGTAATAAATAGTAAGCGATTAAAGACAACATTGTCTTATGTATACAATGAATTCTCCTCTGACTTCCAAGAGAGGTAAGTCACGTGATGTAAACATGACCTGGTTTGATCGAATTTTTATAGCAGGGCATTCATTCGCAATTACAATGTTTGAGAAGGATTTGAAGCAAAATTATGACAAATTAATTAGTTTGAATATGTTTTTAGTCCATATATACCATTAAATCACCCAGTTTGTACGCGGGAATGTATCTTTAAGTTTAATAATACTGTTGTTCTGTGGTTAATCGCATGCATCTAATTCATTTTGTTGCGTTATAGAACAGAAATACATGCGATTGGTAGTGACAACATAATATGGTTTTGAATCGACATATCGCCACTTTTCACCTTCCCGCAATACACACATAGAAATGTGTGAGGTTGAATCAGTATTTATTGTACAAAAACGACTCACAATGCGCTGAAACACTCTCATGACACATATTCCAGTTCTATTAACACCCAAAAATACCTATATTCATGTATTCAGTACTTAAATTACATTTTTGCATTGCAGAAAAGTAGGACATTAAACCCCATTTCATTTCCTTTAAATTTGTGCAATGTGAAATAATTCGTATCGTGACACCTATATAATGCAATACATATTGTATCATAACTATAATCACAATAAATAAACTTTCTGTTTTACAGTAGAAGGCTGATTACAAAATTAAGTATCAGTCACCCAGAGAAAATATTAAAGTTAAATTTACCGTTATATTGGTATTATTTGTACCAGAATATTTTGATGATTTTATTCGATGTAATTCACCTTCACTTGACCACACACTTAGCCAAAAGTTGGAACCAACAAGAATACCATGATATAGAAGACTCAATACTAGTGATAAAATACACATTGTTATGGTACATGCTTTTAAATAACTCAAATAAACACTAGCACGAACAGCTCCTGTTTCTTTATGTTCTTTCTTTACTAGAAGTCCCTTCTCATTCTCTTTTATACCATTCACTGACAGAACAAAAATAAGACAATACAAACAATCACTTATAATATATCCATAATTAATTTCACATGTTAAATAAAAAAAATAGTCTCACAAGGTTTTTTGGCAGTAGATGAGAATTATGGCTTAAAACAGGGTTCTTGATCCATTAGGTCAAATGATGTCCCGGTAGGAACTGGGTTTTAAAATTTTAAGCTTCCATTCCCTTTAATATAACCAGACTTCAACAAAAATAATTCTTGGTAATTTGTTTTGAGGAATGTGGTAATTCTACTGTATGTAATTACCACAAAAATAACAACAAATAGGTACACCGTTCGGAAAAAGCAATTCCTAAGACCTCTACCTTTGGTATGGTTTGTAGTTGTATTGAGGAGAGATTACATATATTATATTATGACTGATATTTAAGAAACCAAACAACTTTATTGCAAACAATATTATAGACCGGGAGCCCAGGGGGTCAATCCAGCTGAAAAGTGTACCAATTTTCTCCTATATGGTATCAATGTATGTATATCTGGTATCATCAGAATGTAAGTCTGTCAGGTTTCTGGTGGTGGGTGGGATATTCCACGCCCTAAATGCCATGATCCCAAACTAGGCTAGATTAGCTCAAAAGTGTACCACCAAAAATCTTACTGCAGTGTACCGTACATCTTCAGGTATTACAAAAACACTCTGACAGACATTTCTAGTGGTGGGGTACCCTTGACAGAGCTATGTAATTGCCAGACATTTGTAGTGGTGGAGTATCCCTGACAAGAGTTATCTAATATTTAGACCAAAGCTAGGCTAGATTAGCTGAAATCTGTACCACAGGTGTCATGAATGACCACTGCCAGACATTGGCACAAGTTTATTTCTAAGGATCTGGATAAGTTCATGGATGTTAAAATCTATTCTTGGTATTGCAAGGAATTCACCTACCCATTTTATCACCATCACCCTTATCTTCATCTGAACCCGATTCATTTTCATTTGTAGCTTCTGTCATTACGGACATCTGTGATACTTGTCTACTCATGGCTGGTGGACATAATGTCTGCAATATACAAAACAAATTCTCAAAATCAACAAGTATACACTCAGTCGACAGTGCAGTAAAACCCTTTAAATACATTCAAATATATTGTTACAAATAGCTTATTTGGGCGAAAGAAACACCAGTAGAAGATGGAGAAACATTAGCAGAAGAAGGAGATACACTGTTAGAAGATGGAGAAACACTAGTAGAAGAAGGAGAAACACTAGAAGAAGATGGAGATACACTAGCTGAAGGAGAAACACTAGTAGAAGATGGAGATACACTAGTAGAAGGAGAAACATTATTAGAAGATGGAGATATACACTAGTAGAAGAAGGGATATAGATACACTATGTAGAAACACTAGTAGCAGATGTGTAGATGATGGTAGAAATATAAATACCTGCGATTTACCATCATTTGATAATGTTCCAGTACTTTGTCTTCTTTCTATGTCTTCTTCAACAGATTCTTTTAGTTTGTGTCTGAAGTAAAATATATTACATACATTATACATGTATTCAAATATGGCATACACATCAATTAAATATGTTTCCTTGGTGATTTTTAAAATAAAAATAGCTACAGTACGTCATAATCATTATCCTTTTAAAGACTAGCTAATAACAATTGTTCTTTTACCGTCAAAGTCCAACTTATCACTTATCAGAAAAGTAAATTATGTATTTTTTAAATCCAACGAAGTTTTTATAAATCGTCAATGGGGAGTTTGCGTAATATAATACAGTAATATACATTAACATACAAGTACATAAAAAGAAAGCGATTATAAACATATTCAACATTACAATCTGTTCATACTGTTTGTAAACTTAACAAGCTCAACAGTTCGAGGGGGATCAGTGAATTTCCACTTTGCAGAATTGTCCTTATTTACTTGTGAGTCTATCTTTGCGTTTGACTTTTGATTCTTTAGAATTTCTTTACACATATTTTCATCCAGTTGTCAAATTTTCAAGCCATTGTTACGAAATTGGAATTTTCAACCGCACGTTACCATTGTTTCTGATAGGTCATTTAAAAAAAGGATCTGAGAAGGCCTGAAGTGTCATTATTACTTCAAATGATATATGTGGGAATTTCCACATTGTTTATTACATTATGTATAGTCACACCAAGAGATAGCGATCCAATGAATGCAATAATTACCATTGGTCTGCATATAATATAATTAGTCCAATGCTTACTACCTTTTACACAAAAAGTCTGAATTACCCGCCAAAGAATGGTGATGTTTCCTTTCTCAGTCATATTAGAATATTATCGCGTGCTGACGTCATAACTCATTCTGCCTAACAGTTGGTTAGTTGTGTTAAAAAGAAATAGCTGTTTGAATAAGCAGACGTTGAGTTTACAAGGTGGTAAAGGGAAATCCATCATGTCATCAGTATGTTTACATTAGGCCTAATTTAAGTGGGCTGTGATGGTTTGTAGCGTTATTCATTTATTAATTATTCAATTGCTAGTAATTGTTCCTCATTCACGTTGATAGAGGGCTGTTTGGCATTTTTTTTTTAGGCTATCCCATATTTGTTGAGTTTTAATGACTTGTGATTGCCTGAACTTAGCGAGTTTTCCCATGACCAAGTAGATCTAATTGGAAGTAAAAAGCTTCACCGGACAGGAGACATAGTACCATTATAAATAAGCTTTTCTGACTAAATAATAACAGATAGCAAGGCCTTAGCCCTTAATTACTATTGTTATAAATAGGCCTGAATTAAACTAATTATAATATTAGGATTAGTTTTGCCCGTGATAATTAGGCCTATTATTCTTATGCCTAATATTAGTACTATTATAAATAGTAAGTCTATAGATTAATTAAATTGATTGCAGAGCAGTGTTGGGATTTCGCCCATATATTTTGGACATGTCCTACACTGTTTTTCAAACATCCAAAAACATCCGACCAGGAATATGCTCAATCGGACATCAAGATATGGTGAATAATATTAAAAATTCCAAAATTAATATAGTGTACTGAGTGTATAGCTACCACTCAACGTATTTATCGTATTATACCGCCTATACACCTACCTTGATTAACTACTTAATCTGCCTTGATTGGCTGACTTAATCCTTTGTCGGACAATTCATCAATCCAATCCTGAACAGAAGTCATTGCTTCTCTTTTGTTGGACAATGTATCAATCCAATAAGAGTGATTATAAACTTAATCTACGTGATTAACCTGTGATTTCTCAATTGTTGGACATTTTAATCTCCTTGATGTCAGCGACAACACGTAGAAGCTAGTCATACGATGTCACACCCCAAATCAATATACATTGTATCCAATAACTTGTCTGTGATATCACTTTGGTGGAAGCAAGCATTAAATAAAGCTATTGGAATAGTGTAAGTAGTTAATTGTTTTAGACGATAGAACGTGCAAGAGTTGATTGCGATTATTTAGCAGATGATGTCACTAGCTCGTTGTGGTAGAGCAACGGTTACTGCCCAAAAAATTTCAGGATGTCATTTTTTTTTACGGAGTATAACAGACTTATACCCTGAAAAATGTACGGGATTGGCAGTAGTCGGCACTTTTATTCTATCATATTACGACAAACAACACGTAATTTTGTAGGAATATTACTGACATACTGACATAAATTCGAATACTGCACAGGAATTAAATATGAAAAATAGCGAGGTGCACCTATTTTTCTTTACGTACGAATTTGAATATTTTATCGAAACATGATTTTTAATTGTGGCCTGAATCCGTCACTCAAGACTCATTATTCACCCGAAGATCACCCGTCAATCAAGTCTCACCCAGGACCAAAGACTCACACGTCACCCAAAACTGATTCATCACCCAAAGATCACTCATCACCCAAGACTCATTCTTCACCTGAAGATCACCCGTCACCCGAGTCTCAACCATTACTCAAGATTCACCTGCCACCCGATTACAAGTCACTCGCTCTTCAACCGAAGATCACCCGTCACCCAAGGTTCACCTGAAGATTACCAGTCACCTTGAGGTTCATCCATAGTGACTTGTTGAAAGTTATAGACCCCCTATTAACATGTGCTGTAACCCATTATATAACCTGTTATGCAGGACTAGTTGACCATTTTATAAGTAATCACCAAGTAGTTATTACCTTACACTTACCTTAATTACTAAAAGGAAGAGTGGAAATCACGCCTTTTATATAACAAAGGGGAATAATTCCCGTTCGGTACATTTATTAACGTAAATAACTATTTCTATTAATCATATATTATATAAATATATGACCTATAATTGAACAGATATTGTACAAAGTATTAATATATTTATTCATTGTATTACGTAAGTATTAATTATAAATTTTTGTTGAATAAAGTTTATGTAATTTATTATTGATTCTGTTATTCTTTTGATTCATGTATTAGACTTAGACAGAGACGAGGCAAAAACGCAACACCATCAAATAAAAGGGGTTTTAAAAAAGATATTACCTTATTTCTGATACTTTTGCTTCTTTTATTGCTTTTCTCCACGATTCGTACAACTCTAGATTAATTTTCTTTACTTCACTTACTCTACTCTGGAGTTGCACTCGACCTTCTTTCATTACAATAACCTGCAAATATCGTCTACATATTATACACATGAAAGTGATAAATCTGCTTATTGCAGGTCCTTTTTTTTGGCTTCAAATATTACATAAACTATTATTTAGACATTTATTCACTTGCCAAGAATATAATCAACTCTCTAGACCAGTAGTGTTAAGCATGCGGCCCGTGGGCCAGATCTGGATCGCCAAGGGGTTAAATGTGGCCCGTGGACATGTCGATAGTTCTTAGAAACCAACGATGGAAATCATTTATGATTGTTTTCTGGTTTCAGTAAAACTCTGACATCTGTACTGTATGTCCTAGATATGTAATACAAGCGCACTTTGTGTTCAATATTACACCTTATTCCATTATAATATGTAACGATTTTAGTCAAATATTAATAAATCAATAAAATTTTCTTTATCTTGACATTTTTGTATAATTTTAGTTCATGTGACCCCTGAATCGAGTTTGACACCCCTGCTCTAAAACATTGGATGGCCGCAACTTTAACAGATTGAAACACGATTGCCATTTAATAATTCAATTTTAAATGGCAAGTACCATTGCTACGATAATAAAAACCTATACTACAACTTTAAACACTGATAACTTTGATAAGAATAAACTAATTTGAATGATATTTTCAATATATTCATCTTTTATTGTCTATTTTTGAACTAGTACAGCAAGAACAGACAGGTCTTTGTCTAATCTTATATAATGCAACCTTAATGTAAAACTACCGGATTATTTACACACCAAGTATATGCAGCAAGCAACAGCCAATGTTTACTATTTCTATAAAACTAGGTAGCATTCTACATAGGAACTCAAAAAGATTGTATATGTATTTGTTTAGTGTTTTGTAGGTGAGTAATGCTCTTATCAATAAAAATATCAGAAAGTCCACAAAATTGTGACTGTTTTTTCTGATTCCAATATGTCTATTGAACAATTGAGACTAATGAACTTACCTGATTAGCATAACTTAAATACTGTAAATGGTGAGTAACAAGTATAACAGTACGCTTACGACGTATTAAACGATTCAAAATGGCTTCATCAAATACATGTCGAGATACATGTGCATCTAACCCTGACAGAGGACTGTCCTGTTAAAATAAAATATAACATTTAAAACATACAAACTGTCATTCCACTTTTAAGTGAGTTAAGCCAGTTTGAAGATATTTTTCACATAAAATATATTTTAATTAATGTGTTGTATTATAGAGATTTCTATAGGAAAATAAAATAAAGTAACGTACCAGTATGACAATTTCAGCTTCAGAATAAAGAGCTCTAGCTAGACTTACACGTTGTTTTTGTCCTCCAGATAATGTTATACCCTAAAAATATACAAGAATACACTATATTAATACACTAGTATATGTTTTTAATTTATACTTGGACACCATGCAGATGGAAGGTTAGCCTAGCAAGCAGGATAAGTTACTTTTTCTTCATTAAGATTTAGAACTGGATAATCCTTGATACATAAACAATCTATAAGCTTTGTATAGTTCGAAGAAATGTCATTCATCTATTATACTACTTTAGGCTTGGCTTGAAAGAAGTTAGATTCAATTCTTTATACCTACATAGGCTTATACCAGTATACAAAAACCTTATTAATTTTATTTAAATGGGAATGCTTCTTAACCATTGTCATCCAGTAGTCACTGATATATTGTAATTCAACCTCTGCAATATATATTGTAATTCAACCTCTGCAATATATATTGTAATTCAACCTCTGCAATATCATGGTAGGATATAATCGGCAAACAACATGCTGTTTCACAAACCAAGAGTGTTCATATTAATTTGAAAAGTTGAACTATTTTTATATTGAGATATATCTAGATATATTTTTTACCTTTTCACCTATTTCTGTTAAATCACCAGCAGGGAATGATTCTATATCATGATTTAAACTACAAGCATGTAAAACTTTACGATATCTACACAAACAAATAAAAAAAAACATACAGAAATTATAAAATATCCTCTCTCTAAATGCTGATGAGATGTGGGTACCAAAATAATGAATTGAATTGAGAAAGCAGATGGCAAGTATGCCTGATTTTGCAACAATTTAACACTTTTAGTGTGATGCTGAGATAGTACTATCATTCCTGGTGTATTACTTATTATACTATCATTCCTGGTGTATTACTTATTATATCACCAGTCCACTCTGTATTTAGTTGTACATGACCTCTAATCAGTTGTCAAGTGTATATTGTTGTTGCATATGCTATATATATTATTAGTCTCCACATATTTGTATTACTTGCTTGATATAGATGACAGTAACCGTGATAAAACTTCAACATTGCAAAGTAATAAATCCAGTAATTGTGTATCTATAACATTGTCTAATATACTTACTTTCTCCAGATGTACGGTTGACCAAATGTAATATTATCTCTAATAGTAGCATGTAACAACCATGGTGACTGAGCACAATAAGCTATATTACTATCTCTGAAATTTTACAACAGAATAAACTCATACATTTAAATATAACATTTTTATAACTTACTATTTTGTACAAATATATGGATGATATCAGGTTTAAAAGTGAATAATCACTGCTCCTAAATTTAACAAGACAATATAATAAACAAGATATTCCTTACACAATATATTGTCATGAACCAAGACCAAGATTAGGCATATTTCGATTTGACATCATATCAGAAACCTGACTCGGTCAGTCGATGCATATGACTTCTATGGTAGGGTGACCCACCATAAATAAATATCTCCATATATCTCCATATATCTCGACAACTACGCCACAATATTTATATATATGCCAAGCCTCAAATCAGTTTCACACAATTATAGTCACTAAATAAACGATCATGTTGTACTTAATAAGCTATGACCATTAATCATCTATATATAATAGACTGAAAACTGGTTCCAAGTGTCGTCCATAACATCCAGACACTTTTGAGTAAAAGATAGGTTACGTGCCCTTGTTTTGAAATTAGTCTCGCTTAACCAGTCTATCGACCATTCTACGTCTGATTGACAGGTCGGGATAATCAAGACTACTTTTTTTACGAAACATAACAGAAAGCTAGAACAAGAAATTGAATTTAGAAATAAGCACGTTAGGTAACTCAACAATCGTTTTAAGAACCTTGTAAAAGTAAAATGAAACTACTGCTAGTATCATGTTCCTGTCTAACCCGAGTGATTCAGAGATATTATTTGTACTAAACCAAAAGATGCCGCTCTTAACGGTACAGTTAATGATAAAGCGATTTAAAAAATGAAACGAACGTAATTTCTAAATCTGCTGTAATAACCAAGAAGCTTAATTTCACTGCTATTCAAAATCGTCAACAATAAATTTTTTACGGCTGTAATAGTTGATAGATTTGTAGAGAATTGCACGTGCCATGGCTATTTATAGTATCATACTGTCAGAAAGTTGGTCTCGGCACGGCGAATGTGCACGCTTCAGTGGTAGTCTCGAACTATCAGCGGTGGACTGTATTTCTGTAGAGTACATGGGTCACCCTATCTATGGAGCATTCATTAGTCATGGTCCATGACGTCATTGTAGCCATCTTGAAATTGTGACATATCCAGCATTGATGCACAATTGTCCAAAGAACAAGCATACAAAATTTCATACTGGTTGTAAATTATTTGGCAGAGCCTTAGGTTTGTTTTTTTTACTAGAGCATCACTCCATCAACAAGACGATGCTATTTCAAAAACTATCATTACATTATATAAATATTATGATATCTTACCTTGCCCATTCTACATGTCCTGATAACTTCACCATTTCTCCTAACATTGCTGCTATCAACGAAGACTTACCACTACCCACAGGTCCAACAATAGCTGTTAATTTACCTACAATCATATATTATTATTACACCACAGTAAAAAGTAAGTAAATTTACTTTAACATACATTCAATACCAATTTATATTTCTACCAATAAAAAAAAACTCACTCGTACATCTCAGAAATGTACCGTGTATAAAAACTTAAAGGGATATCAGTGTTGTGCAGGTCTTCACTGGTTGCATACATAATTACATCAGACGTGTTTACAATATATATTATTAGATTGCATGTAAATTTTGAGATATCGCTCTGATACACATGTTTTATTTTTATATATAAATATACCATTCACTCTACTAGTAAGTAGGTTGCTTGTGAGCAGAATCAAAGGTTCTTTTGAAATGAAATGGGGTTTAACAGTACTGTTCTGCACCAAGAAGATTGGCATATGGGTCATTCAATGCCAACTGGACCAGTGCTTGTAAAGTGACCCCCTCAGAATATTATGAAACAAGCGGCTGCCAGACAGGATACACCCACATTTTGCAAGTGATGGATAGAGAATAACCTAAAAACAAACACAATTTTTTGTACAATCAGGGGCAATAATCCAGAAATTTATGCTCTGAGATGTGAAAATATCAAAAGGAACTGAGATCTTTGGGATATATAAATGCGATTTTTTGAACAATCAGGGGCCATGATCCAGGAGGTTACGTTCGGATATGCGCGATTATCAAAAGGAACCAAGATCTTATTGTGCAACGGTGATATATTCATACGTTTTTTTTTAAATCAGATAAAAATTGTCACCTCTAGAGAGACCACAAGCTAAAAACATGATGTTTTGTACAATATGGGGCCATAATTAAGGAAGTTACGATCCGATATGCTCGAATATCGAAAGGAACCAAGATCTTTGGGATATAAACATGCATTTCAAGTTTCATCAAAATCGGATCAAAATTTTGAGCTCTAGAGGGTCCACAACCTTGATTTACACTATTTGCGTACAAGGGGCAGCCATTTTGTCTGGCAGTTTTGGTCCAATGTTCACGAAATTCGAACTCAACCAAAATTACGGTGTAACGGTGATATAGAGGGATCACAAGCTAAAAACATGATTTTTTGTACAATCAGGGGCCATAATTCAGCAAGTTCCAATCCGATATGCGCAAATATCGAAAAGAACCAAGATCATTGGGTTATAAACATGCATTTCAAGTTTCATCAAAATCGGGTGAAAATTGTGACCCCAGAGTGTCCACAAGCTAAAAACGTGATTTTTCGCACAATCAGGGGTGACGGCATAATATGTCCACATGAAAATATGATGGCGCGAGGTTGTTAATAATTTTATACATTAATTTTGATTTATGATGTTGATGTCTTTCCGAGAGTGGAAAAAACACAGTCTCTTTATAGAGTAAGGCATGGCTGGTACCTGTAACCGCCCCACAGATAGTGCGTATTGCATCTAATTGTAGGGATTCTAGTTTGTTAGATAAATAATCACTGCACCCATCCCAGATAATATCGGCATAATCAAAGTGTGGAAGGATAAAAGAACAGTATATTGTGTTTAAAGATTTTCTATTCAGTCAATATATTAGAGAGCGAAGGCAATTTACTAGTTTAGATACTTTGCTTACAATGCTATCTATATGATTATTACATTTACAGTTAGTTTGATAGATTAGACCTAGATGTTTATGTTCACTTACGAGCGTACTTCTTTGATTTTTACCTGGTTCATAAATAATTGTGGTTTAACTATGTGGGATTTAGTAGTAATAGTCAGTGTCTCTGTTTTAGGGGTTTAGTAGTAATAGTCAGTGTCTCTGTTTTAGGGGGTTAAAAGTTACCAGCCATGTCTCTGCCCAATTTCTGTTTCGATTTAAGTCATCGTTGATGGTAGCAGCACTTGCCTCTGGGTCTCAATTTTTTAGTATAAAGAGGTATTGTCGGCAAATAATCTGATGTTTAAATTTATATTGTTCACAATGTCATTTATGTATATTAAGAATAAAAGAGGGCCTAGTACAGATCTCTGTGGTACACCAGCAGGGATGATTCTGGGGTCCGAGGAGGTGCCATTGATGGTTATACATTGTTGTCTATTTTTTAAATAATCTTTGAACCAGAGCAGCAGTCTTCCTCGAACCCCGCAGCATCCAGCTTGTGACAGCGTTCGGCAGGCCAAAGCCTGTCAAAGGCCTTGCTGATATCACAGAAGACTATTCTAGTATACTGATGTTGATCGATGGCTCGACAGAAGATTGGTTGGAATATGGTAGAATCATTAGGAAGAAAGTCACTCTGGACAGGTGTTAGTATGGTGTTATCTCTAAGAAAGTTAAAGTCATGTTTGTGGATGATTTTTTCAAAAATTTCGACTATTATACTTAAGAGGGAGATTGGTCTATAATTACTACAATTGTTTGGAGAGCCTTTTTTGAATATAGCGACCATGTTTGCAAATTTGCAAATTTTTGGTACAATGTGTAGATCTAATGATAGTGTTAATTTCGTCAGGTCCTGAGGCTTTTGTGGTATCTAGGCTGTCAATTATGTGTGGTAGAGATTTATTGGTGTCATCTAGTTGTGATTGTTTGATAAAGAATGAGTTTAAGGCATTTGCTTTTTCGGATTGAGTAAACAAAGTGTTACCGTTAACTGTTAATGGTGGTGGTTCGTTTGTAGAAGCAGCATGTGTTTTGGTATATGAATTAATAAGTTTCCACCAGGTTTTTGTTCCAAAGTTTTCTGTGTCACTAATTTGTTTGTCTATTTTGTCAAAGTAATGGTTTTTGCTTTTTCTAATTAAGTCTATGTAATCACAATCTGATTAAAATACAGATCTATATTTCGTTTCGTTTTTTTATACTTTCGATGGCCTACACTACATGAAGATCTGACAAGTTATAGCGATATGTCGCGTCAGGGGTCAAAAGACTGACTTATGACCCTATGACGTCAGACATTTGATTAACCAATCAGCATTAGTGTTACTAGTTGATTACCCACAGTTCCGTGAAACACACGCCTAAATCTCGCTGTAACAGACCGTTTCATTGACTTATCCCTGACACCATTCAGAACACGAGTTAAATAACAACTCTTCCAGACCCAAGTGTAGTAAAGACAAGTAAAACGAAATTTTGAACTATAAAAACGAAACGAAATAGGATCTGTGTTTTAACCAGATTGATGTTATCATTTTTAATTTTCCGGAAGTTATGACAATCAGTCTAAATTCCTATTCACCGCTTTTTTGTGTAATCTATTTTTCTTCTTTTTCATACGTCTTATTGCGCCATTCATCCAGGGTTTATCATGTTGCCTAATTGTCACTATTTTGCAAGGTATATTTGCTTTTGCTATATTGATCAATGAGCTTGTAAATTGGACACACGATGCTTAGACTATATTTGAACTATTGATAAGATTGTACCATTTAGTAGCTATAACGTTTCTTTTTATGGCCCAAGGTCTACGTTTTCGCACTTCCATACGTTCGCTTAAAGCTGCGGTTTTTTTGTACGTTAAATGCCAATTTGCAATATACCGGACAGTGGTCACTACAGAAGTTGTCAAGTACACCATTTTCTGTTGTTCGTAATGTAGAACTGGTTAATATCCAGTCTATTTTAAAGAAGTGTGGTTTTTGCTAGAATAATGAGTAGGTTTATTTATCAGCTGAGTATGGTCAAATATATTCTCTTCAAAAAAAAAAGTAGGGGATATTCAGAAACAATACAAAACTGCGGAAATGCACTGCTGTTTTTATTAGAGGTAACCAGTGTATGTTAATAACTATAATAAGGGCAGAACTATCGGTGCCAGGATGTGGTCACGGTAGTACACACCAGTGACCGTTCCTTCAACAATATGCAAGTCCGTTCTGCCATGGTGATTCCTCCCAACACCATAACAGACCCACGCCCGAATCTGTCATGCTGTCTGACGTTAACGTTAGCATGATGCTCATTTACACGCCTCCAAACGCGAGCACGTCTATCGGTGAAATCCAGAGTAAATCTGGACTCATCTGAGAACATTACATGTGCCCATCGATGATTACACCAATTTCTACGCTGCCTACACAATTGACACCGGTTTGCCATGTGCTGGCGAATTAATGGAGGCACAACATGCGTTCGTCGCGCATGCAAATGGGCTGCATGTAGCCGATTTTTAATCGTTTGGGGTGTAACTCAAATTCCTGTAACCTGGTACAAGTTAACAGAAAGCTGATTGGCCATTTGTCCTCTATTTCACAGGACCTGTGTACAAATGTATCGATCCTGGGCTGGTGTAGTGGCTCTAGGACGACCTGAACGAGGTCTATCATTAACATTGTGTTTGTTGGTACCGGTTCCACAGTCTGCTGATCACAGACTGTGACACATTAAGCATGTTGGCTATTGCTCGCTGTGTAGAACCCATTTGAAGCATACCAATAGCACATACTGACGTAGACGTTCATCACGTTGAAGACGTCTCATTGCAAATTAAACATAACACACTAAAGCAAAGATACACTAAACAGTAAATCTTATGCAAGAACCGATAGGAAAGCAAACATGGATAGGATAAACCAGCGCGCGGCTGTTTTCATCAACCCTTCCTTGAAGTGTCAAATTTGACAATGAACCCCTCCCACGTGTATGGCGCTATTGCGTGTTGCATGTGCAGCTCAGTGGTTCTGTTGGGGCGATAAGCTCTTCATCTGTGAACATACTCTCAAAGCATTTCAAGTGTCCATGACTATTTATCATATCACAACCTGCATTTCAATATCCCCTACTTTTTTTGAAGAGTATATTTAGATTTTTTTAACATCAATATTGAAATCACCTAAAACTATGCATTTGTCCAAGGGGTCGGTTACAGTGTTTTGAAGAGATAGTGAAGTAATATTAATCTCCATTAACCACATGTTTTGAATTTGACTATTGCTCACAAGTGCACTAATCTTTATTATGTTTGTGTAAGTCAGATAACAACCTATGTCCGTAGCTGTTATTTGAAATAAAACCTGTAGACTACAAATAACAAACTTGAAAGCAATCGCAATCTACTACACAATTTGTAATTATATAGTTGAATTAGTTTTACCTGCTCTTATTTTGATGTTAATGTCAGACAAATATGCTGTTTTTGATTCCAAATTCCACGAAAAATTGCTGTCTGCTATTTCTAGTACTAGTCTTGGTTCTATTAATAAAATTTCTTCTGTTCCCTCATCTTCATCTTCTGTTGACACCCCACTGTGATGACGGCGCCTCATTTTATTATCATTATTTTCACCATAGCCTAGTGAAGGGGCACTGGATTTTCTTGCCAAAGGAGCATGCTTAACATCAAGATAGTGATCACTGGAGTTACGACCCAAACTATGACGTTTGTTATCAAACATTTCAAAAATTGAAGCCCCGCTGTTTTGACGACTATGGGTAGGGGTTCGTGATTCTACTGTACTATGGCTACCATATCTATCATCATTCAGCACGCTTTTCTTGCCCAATAATCCATGAGCTGTATCATCTGTTGACATGTCTTCTAGTACGATATCCTGTAACATTTAACAACATTTAGTACAATAATACTTCATTCTCTGTCTCATGGATGGATGGTATGAGCTTTAACGTTTAAGTTAGGTCATTTTATGGGTAATTTGTGGTTATAAAACTTATATGTGCAATGAGAGGAGGAAACATTCTGTATTATTGACGATGCACCATAACTGTTCAGCAACACACAACAGTACGTGAACATAGCCCAGACATAACAAAATGTTCAAGAGGGTGACTTAGCCCTTTACAATCCACACAGTACCAGAATAAATAAATTCTTAAAGCTTATTTTTTAGACCTCTGCCCTATACACAAACCATTCTACTTGGGTCTTAAGAATAATGTCCAAGTGATATACAGGTTACCTAGAGCTAGATCTGGGTAATATTTCGTTTTTTCAATATAACACCGTCACAGAAATAAAAACCGTCAAAAATACTGCCTTCAGAAAAATATTGAAAAACGGATTTTTGGGATTCTAATCCAGTAAATATCGCAGGCTAGCGATGACATCGAGAGTTGATTATGGTCTGGATAAGTTAATTAATGTCTAATAATTTAGATAACATTTTAGGCCTAAAGAAAAACCTGCAATAGGCAGATTTAGCTCTTGCATAATGTATGTTTAATAAAGGAGAAATATAAATAATGCCAACTATATAGAGAGTACCGGTAGACTGATTATCATTCAGCGTCGGAAATGTTATGGCAGTCCGTGATCCCAAAAATCGCTATTTGACTAAATCAATCGATACTTTTTGACATAGTTTTTATACGCCCACATTTTCATGTGGACGTATCTATGCCGTCGCCCCTGTCTTATCCGATTTTAACGAAACTTGAAATATAGGTGTATCTCCAAAAGATCTCGGCTGCTTTCGATATTGGCATGTATCGGATCGAAACTTCATGGATTATGGCCCCTGTTTGTACGAAAAATTATGACCTCTATAGGGTCCACAAGCTAAAAACGCGATTTTTTGTACAATCAGGGGCCATAATTCAGGAAATTACGGTCCGATATGCGAGAATAACGAAAGGAACCGAGATCTTTGGGTTATAAAAATACATTTCAAGTTTCAACAAAATCGGATAAAAATTGTGACCTCTATGGACTATAGGGTCCACAACCTTGATATACCATTTTCTTACGCTATTTAAGAACGAACGGCGGCCATTTTGTCTGTCAATTTTGGGCCGATTTTCACGAAATTCGAACTCAGTCATCCTTAGGGTGTAACAGTGATATAATAAAACGTTTTTTTAAATCGGATAAAAATTATGACTTCTATAGGGTCCACAAGCTAAAAACGTGATTTTTCATACAATCAGGGGCCATAATTCAGGAAGTTACTGTCCGATATGCGCGAATATCGAAAGGAACTGAGATCTTTGGGTTATAAACTTACATTTCAAGTTTCAACAAAATCGGATCAAAATTGTGACCTCTATAGGGTCCACAAGCTACAAACGTGATTTTTCGTACAAACAGGGACCATAATCCATGAAGTTTCGATCCGATACATGCCAATATCGAAAGCAGCCGAGATCTTTTGGGGATACACAATTGTGGACGGACGGACGGACGGACGGACAGGGGCGACGGCATAATACGTCCACATGATTTTGTTGAAAATTGAAATTTAAGTTTATAACCCAAAGATCTCGGTTCCTGTCGATATTCGCACATATCGGACCGTAACTTCCGGAATTATGGCCCCTGATTGTACGAAACATCACGTTTTTAGCTTGTGGACCCTATAGAGGTCAACATTTTTATCCGATTTAAAAAACCGTATTATTATATCACCGTTACACCATAAGGACGACTGAGTTCGAATTTTGTGAAAATCGGCCAAAAATTGACGGATAAAATGACCGCCGTTCGTTCTCAAATAGCGTAAAAATATGGTATATCTAGGTCGTGGACCCTATAAAGGTCACAATTTTTATCCGATTTTGTTGAAACTTGAAATGTAAGTTTATAACCCAAAGATCTCGGTTTCTTTCGATATTCGCGCATATTGGACCGTAACTTCCTGAATTATGGCCCCTGATTGTCTGAAAAATCGCGTTTTTACCTTGTGGACCCTATAGAGGTCATAATTTTTATCCGATTTAAAAAACCGTATTATTATATCACCGTTACACCATAAGGACGACTGAGTTCGAATTTTGTGAAAATCGGCCAAAAATTGACGGATAAAATGACCGCCGTTCGTTCTCAAATAGCGTAAAAATATGGTATATCTAGGTCGTGGACCCTATAAAGGTCACAATTTTTATCCGATTTTGTTGAAACTTGAAATGTAAGTTTATAACACAAAGATCTCGGTTTCTTTCGATATTCGCGCATATTGGACCGTAACTTCCTGAATTATGGCCCCTGATTGTCTGAAAAATCGCGTTTTTACCTTGTGGACCCTATAGAGGTCATAATTTTTATCCAATTTAAAAGATAGGTTGCCAGGCAACGAAACATACGCCCACAGCAGCTAAATCGTCCGGGCAGTCAACAAGAGTTGTCGCATATTTTTACTTTTTTCGGTAATGAAACATTTATCATAAACTAAAATCTGATTAAGAGCAACAACTCAGAAAACCATTAGAATTTGTTTGGTTTTTATAAAGTTCTGCCTCATGCTAACGTTTTGTATACAAAACTTTTAATACCGTATCATGGATTTAGCTGTTCCAAGTCATAAAAATTCATTGAAAATCAATATACTTGTTCGTCTCAAGATCTTAAACTCTGTGTATCAATCTGAAGTCAATCGGATATTAACTTTGGCCTCTAGAGCGTGCACAAGAGTTTTCAAAGTGATCAAGGGCCATAACTCTGGCAGTAATTATCGAAAATCACTGAAAATGAATAGACTTCTTCGTCTCATGACCTTAAACACTGTGTATAAATTTAAAGTCAATCGGATATTATCTTTGGCCTCTAGAGCGTCCACAAGATTTTTTGAAGTGATCAAGGGCCATAACTCTGGCAGTAATTTTCGGAAATCACTGAAAATCAATAGGCGTCTTCGTCTCATGACCTTAAACACTGTGTATAAATTTAAAGTCAATCGGATATTAACTTTGGCTTCTAGAGCGTCCACAAGATTTTTTGAAGTGATCAAGGGCCACAACTCTGGCAGTAATTATCGGAAATCACTGAAAATGAATAGACTTCTTCGTCTCAAGACCTTAATCACTGTGTATAAATTTAAAGTCAATCGGATATTAATTTTGGCCTCTAGAGCGTCCACAAGATTTTTTGAAGTGATCAAGGGCCATAACTCTGGCAGTAATTATCGGAAATCACTAAAAATCAATAGGCTTCTTCGTCTCATGGCCTTAAACACTGTATATAAATTTAAAGTCAATCGGATATAAACTTTAGCCTCTAGAGCGTCCACAAGCAATTGTGGACGCCGGACCGACGGACGTCCGGACCGACGAAAATATACGACCACATTTCAATGTGGGTGTATAAAAACTGTATTATTATATCACTGTTACATCCTAAGAACGACTGAATTCGAATTTCGTGAAAATCAACCCAAAATCGACAGACAAAATGGCCGCCAAGTGTTCTCAAATAGCGTAAAAATATGGTATATCGACCCTATAGAGGTCACAATTTTTATCCGATTTTGTTGAAACTTGAAATATAAGTTTATAACACAAAGATCTCAGTTCCTTTCGATTTTCGCGCATATTGAATTGTAATTTCTTGAATTATGGCCCTTGATAGTAGGAAAAATCACTTTCTTGTTAGCTTGTTCTCTATCCATCTCTCGAAAATGTGGGCAAATATCAAAAGGAACCAAGATCTTTGAGTTATAAACTTACATTTCAAGTTTCAACAAAATCGGATAAAAATTTTACGCAATTTGAGAACGAGGGTCGTACTTAGGGTGTAACGGTGATATAATAATACATTTTTTTAAATCGTATATAAATTATAACCTCTATAGGGTCCACAAGCTAAAAACGTGATTTTTCGTACAATCAGGGGCAATAATTCAGTAAGTTACGGTCCGATATGCGCGAATATCGAAAGAAACCAAGATCTTTGGGTTATAAACTTACATTTCCAGTTTCAACAAAATCGGATCAAAATTATAACCTCTATAGGGTCCACAACCTTGATATACCATATTTTTACGCTATTTGAGAATGAAGGGCAGCCATTTTATCTGTCAGTTTTGGGCTGATTTTCATGAAATTCGAACTCAGTCGTCCTTAGGGTGTAACGGTGATATAATAATATGATTTTTTAAATCGGATAATAATTATGACCTCTATAGGGTCCACAAGCTAAAAACGCGATTTGTCATACAATAAGGGGCCATAATTCATGAAGTTACGGTCCGATATGCGCGAATATCAAAAGGAACCGAGATCTTTGTCTTATAAACTTACATTTCAAGTTTCAACAAAATCGGATAAAAATTGTGACCTCTATAGGGTCCACAACCTTGATATACCATATTTTTATGCTATTTGAGAACGAAGGGCGGCCATTTTGTCTGTCAGTTTTGGGCTGATTTTCACGAAATTCGAACTCAGCTGTCCTTAGGGTGTAACGGTGATATATTAACACAGTTTTTTTAAATCGGATAAAAATTATGATCTTTATAGGGTCCACAAGCCAAAAAACGCGTTTTTGCGTACAATCAGGGGCCATAATTCATGAAGTTACGGTCTGATATGCGCGAATATCGAATGGAACCAAGATCTTTGTGTTATAAACTTACATTTCAAGTTTCAACAAAATCGGATAAAAATTGTGACCTCTATAGGGTCTACAACCTTGATATACCATATTTTTACACTATTTGAGAACGAACGGCGGCCATTTTGTCTGTCAGTTTTGGGCTGATTTTCACGAAATTCAAACTCAACCGTCCTTAGGGTTTAACGGTGATATAATAATATGTTTTTTTAAATCGGATAAAAATTATGACCTCTATAGGGTCCACAAGCCAAAAAACGCGTTTTTACGTACAATCGGGGGCCATAATTCAGGAAGTTATGGTCCGATATGCGCAAATATCGAAAGGAACCAAGATCTGTGGGTTATAAACTTACATTTTAAGTTTCAACAAAATCGGATAAAAATTGTGACCTCTACAGTGTTCACAAGCCAAAAACGTGATTTTTGGTCCAATCAGGGGCCATAATCCATGAAGTTAAGGTCCGATAGATGCCAATATCGAAAGGAACCGAGATCTTAGGGTGATAAACCTATATTTCAAGTTTCATTGAAATCGGATAAAAATTGTGACCTGTAGACTGTTCACAAACAACTGTGGACGGACGGACAGGGGCGACGACAATATACATCCACATGAAAATGTGGGCGTATAAAAATGTTTTAGTGATATTGACTAGAAAGTGTCAAGTGAATACGCCTGGGGTATTTCCAACTTTTAGAACATGTTTATTTACATTCAAAAGGTGATAAACTGAAATTATTGACATTTTATAAAATATCGTAATATAGTGATTATATCGCAATATTTTTAAAAAATATCACAGTATCTGTTTCCAGGGACATTGCTCTACCTAGAGCATTGATATTGCATGGAACTTTTTAAAAAATTTTCCAAAGAGTAACACAAGCAGTTCAATCAGTTCAATATTTTAAAATAGATGAGAGAGTATCAATGTTATCAGATTTGTAAAACTTTGTTTTAAATACCCACATAAAGCCATTGTTTGTGTCAGAACCCTTTCCAACCTTGGGAAAGGTTGGGACATTTTTGAATAAAGTGAGGATAAAGTACAACTACCTCATTTTCTGTTTCAACAGCAACACTTTTTTTATCAGGTTCTTCTTGAGCTTCAACTTCTGTGGCAATAAGAAATGGTATTAGACGTTTGGCGCTGACCTTGGCATTAGCTATCGCATTTGAGCAGACTGTCAACAGTTGAAGAGGTTGTGACAGTAGATTAAACAGAGCCAAAGCTGACAGAGCTTTACCAGCAGAAAGAGGTTCATTCTCAATGTATGGATAGGACAAAAATGTCTGAAAAAAACACAACATATATCAAAGGCTTATAATTCCTGCAAGAAATCATGTCTAGAAAATCTTGTAAATAAAAAAATTGTTCTATATTCAAAAGTACATTATAAATCAGAAATTGGTTTAATTTAAAGACAAGTATGTTTCTAGCTTTAGTCAATTCCATTATATTTACTTCAATTAGTAGAAATACTTTATCTGGGGTCTGGGAAATGAAATGAAATGAAATGGGGTTTAACGTCCTAGTCCAAACTGGGCTAATGAAGACGGGCATATGCCATACAGTGTGCTATGAGGGAAATTTTGCCCGGACAGCGGCACTACAGCCTACTCTTATATCGAATTCCAACTGTCAAGGGATCTTTTACGTGTACGCCAATGTGTACACGGGACCTCGGTTTTTCGTCCCCTCAGAACGACAAGACAGCTGTCCTTGTCAGGCCCTCCATCCTGCATTGGGGTCTGGGAACATCACAAACAATTTGTTACTTCTAACAGTACAGATACATAGTTAATCCTTACATAATGCTTTGCAGATTTTGTTACCATAATTAGAAATAATTGTATTAGGTATATACAGATTTTCAGTCTTACCACCATAGCTCCAATAGCTGGTGTTGCCATACCAACAAAACCCATGAGTCCACGAACACAGGATTGTGGGTAGAGATAACCAATTTCTGTTTTTCTTGCATCCTCTATTTTATTTACAAATGTTTTTTCCCATGCTAATAATTTAACACCTCGGATACAGTGTATTAATTCATTTACCATCTTTACTCGTATATCAGATTGTCTCTGAAAATGTATAATAAGAGTTACATCTCTTTGTACCATACTAAATTTCTAAGAGACTTAGTTAAACGACAGCTTTTTTTTTTTGGAGGGGGCCAACTAACCGGAAAAGTGTGTATTACTTTTTATGGCCTTAGAGAATCCTTCCACCAATCAAGAGCACTGAATGAAGTCAACTTAACGGAGAAAAGATAGTGCATGCCAGTTCTAAAATAAATAATCTATTTGACGGTTTAATGATGTTTATAACAATACAAATGTTAGGCTACTTACCATAACCCGTTTTTGTAGCTTGGACATAGCCAGCCCCAGTCCATACATGATAGGTGCCGCCAATATAACTACTGATCCTCCTATCAATGCACTAATACCTAGTTTATAATATAGAAATCCTAACGCTAATATTACCTGAAAATATATCACAAAATAAATATTAATAAAAATATTCAGACCAGCACTCTAGGATTATGGCTGAAGCAATACATGTGCCCTACACTAAAATTAGTCAGGTGTCTTCATTAGCCGAGTTGGTGAAGAAAAGTAGGACATAAAACCCTATTTCATTTCATTTTTTTAAAAAGATGTATTTCATATCAAAGACCGGGAACAAGGTGAAAATCGGTCAACTATTTTTCATCGGAATCAGTAAACTCAATTAATGATAGAGTGGTTCAGTGGTCAATTAATTGTCCTTATATAAACATACACAGTTATCTGCCTGACTGCCCCGTCCGTGAGGAAATAAATATTTGCTAGCTCTAAATATGCAGAACTATTTGAGACCAGAAAATAACCGAAACAAACTTTTTATTGGTAGTCTTTATTTTCCAGACACTTTTCAATAACTTGGTGTAAATTATTTTCATAATCATAGTATCTTATTTAATTATTCTGTAGCCATAAGCCTTGATCGACGGACTTAGTTTTTTTTCTAGATCTGAGACTGAGTCCTGCAAGATGACGTCCACCGATGATTTGCTATCAAGCATTGGATTTGACAAGTACCCCTATGATTTGAGCACTGTAACCCAACTACCTATGGCAAAAATCACAAATAGGCTTATACTAGGCATTGTTGGTAAATTCCCGACAACTACGGAGCATCAGTCTATCATAACTGCTTTACATAACGACTGTGTGACGTTTGGTGACAATTACATTCAAAATAGACCGGTCAGACTGAAGACTAGGAAGCTGGGTAAAAGTAAGGCTAAGTCCAATAAATGTATGAAATCATACAACAATTTTCTTAACACCCCATTGTTTCCAGGAATAGTGGACGAGACTCCATCGGCAGATACAAGTGAAATTAATTTAATAAATAGAGAGACTCAGACATCTGCCAATGCGACCTTGACTGATTTAAATAGGAAAAATAGGTAATTGCGGCCTAGTTAAAAAATCGACTTCGGAAGACTAAAAAAGAAATGATTCGCATGAAGGCTAATAATGAAAAACCAGCGGCTGCCAGGCAGGATACGCCCACATTTTCGAGAGATGGATAGAGAACAAGCTAAGAAGAAAGTGATTTTTCCTACAATCAAGGGCCATAATTCAGGAAATTACAATTCGATATGCGCAAATATCGAAAGGAACCGAGATCTTTGGGTTATAAACTTACATTTCAAGTTTCAACAAAATCGGATAAAAATTGTGACTTCTATAGGGTTCACAACTTTGATATACCCTATTTTTACGCTATTTGAGAACGAAGGACGGCCATTTTATCTGTCAGTTTTGGGCCGATTTTCACGAAATTCGAACTCAGTCGTGCTTAGGGTGTAACGGTGATATAACAATACGGTTTTTTAAATCGGATAAAATTTATGACCTCTATAGGGTCCACAATCTAAAAACGTGATTTTTCATACAATCAGGGGCCATAATTCAGGAAGTTAAGGTCCGATATGCGCGAATATCGAAAGGAACCAAGATCTTTGGGCTATAAACTTACATTTTAAGTTTCAACAAAATCGGATTTAAATTGTGACCTCCATAGGGTCCACAACCTTGATATTCTATATTTTTACGCTATTTGAGAACGAAGGGCGACCATTCTGTCTGTCAGTTTTGGGCCGATTTTCACGAAATTCGAACTCAGCCGTCCTTAGGGTGTAACGGTGATATAATAATACGGTTTTTTAAATCGGATAAAAATTATGACCTCTATAGGGTCCACAGGCTAAAAACGCGTATTTTCGTACAATCAGGAGCCATATATCAGGAAGTTACGGTCCGATATGCGCAAATATCAAAAGGAACCGAGATCTTTGGGTTATAAACTTACATTTCCAGTTTCAACAAAATCAGATAAAAATTGTGACCTCTATAGGGTCCACAACCTTGATATACCATATTTTTACGCTATTTGAGAATGAAGGGCAGCCATTTTATCTGTCAGTTTTTGGCTGATTTTCACGAAATTCGAACTCAGTCGTCCTTAGGGTGTAACGGTGATATTATAATATGATTTTTTAAATCGGATAATAATTATGACCTCTATAGGGTCCACAAGCTAAAAACGCGATTTGTCATACAATCAGGGGCCATAATGCAGGAAGTTACGGTCTGATATGCGCAAATATCGAAAGGAACCGAGATCTTTGGGTTATAAACTTACATTTCAAGTTTCAACAAAACCGGATAAAAATTGTGACCTCTATAGGGTCCACAACCTTGATTTATCATATTTTTACACTATTCGCGTACAAACGGCGGGCATTTTGTCTGTCAATTTTGGGCCGATTTTCTCGAAATTCGAATTCAACCTTCCTTAGGGTGTAACATGGATATACCAATACGGGATTTTAAATCGGATAAAAATTATGACCTCTATAGGGTCCACAAGCTAAAAACGCGATTTTTCGTACAATCAGGGGCCATAATTCAGGAAGTTACGGTCCGATATGCGCGAATATCGAAAAGAACCGAGATCTTTGGGTTATAAACTTACATTTCAATTTTCAACAAAATCGGATAAAAATTGTGACCTCTATAGGGTCCACAACCTTGATATACCATATTTTTATGCTATTTGAGACGAACGGCGGCCATTTTGTCTGTCAATTTTGGGCCGATTTTCACGAAATTCAAACTCAGCCATCCTTAGGGTGTAACAGTGATATAATAATACGTTTTTTTAAATCGGATAAAAATTATGACCTCTATAGGGTCCACAAGCTAAAAACGCGATTTTTCGTACAATCAGGGCCCATAATTCAGGAAGTTATGGTCCGATATGCGCGAATATCGAAAGAATCCGAGATCTTTGGGTTATAAACTTACATTTCAAGTTTCAAAAAAATCGGATAAAAATTGTGACCTCTATAGGGTCCACAAGCTAAAAACGTGATTTTTCGTACAATCAGGGGCCATAATCCATGAAGTTTCGATCCGATAAACCTATATTTCAAGTTTCGTCAAAATCGGATAAGAATTGTGACCTGTAGAGAGTCCACAAACAATTGTGGACGGACGTCCGGACGGACAGGGGCGACGGCATAATACGTCCACATGAAAATGTGGGCGTATAAAAAACAATTGGCAGGTAAAAAAAATGGTTGCAAGTCCAACCCTTTTAGGAAGAACAAAGTAATTTTGTATGATTTCGAAAATCAAAGATACACAGCAGAATGCCATCATTTGGTCATGGAACTTAAAAATCTAAACGTTTCGAATGGTAACATAGCTGCGGTTATAACCGCATGTTTGGCTGTAGCGGGACTAAAATCTAATTACACTCCTTCAATATCTACAGTTCAAAGAATATCATGTTATCGTGTCCGTGTATCTTTAAAACATGTTTCTGAAACCTTAAAGTAGGCGAAAATACCACCCTTTATACAGACGAAACTACAAAATTTGGCTCTAAATATACGCAATGTCCGCTGACTCGACACATATGCCACTTATTCTTGGTCTTCGTGAAATGGCTGATAAATCTGCGCAAACTATATTTAGTAAATCCGTTATTTTCAAAATTAAAAATACCATGTCAGACAGAGCCAGCACAGAAAAGCTTTTGAATTCTTTATTTACACAATACAGAGGCAGTATTTGCGCTAAATTAGTAGAAAACTGGTCAAATTTATCAGATTCAGAGCGAAATATTCATATGAATATTAATCATTTCTTTTGTGGTCTTCATTTATTAACTGGTTTATCCTACAATGTGTTCTTTTTTCATAACAAACATCATACGGCACAATATATTTATTTATCTGTGGGACAAGAAATAAAGTCTTAAATTAATATATATTTATAGAGGTATTTATCCCTCACTCTCCATATTACAAGCCATTATATTTTCCTCGTACTATATCCGACAATTTATTTTTCATAACAAACATCATACTGCACAATATTTATTTATCTTTGGGACTTACATTAAAGTGTTACATTATTAGATTTATAGACGTCTCTCTCCCTCTCTCTTTCGCTCCCTCTGTTTAACATGCCATTATAAACAGACCCGGTGTCTGTGGGTATACAGAAATGAAAGCACTGTCCTTTTTAATACATGTATTAGGCTAATCTTTAAACAATTCAAGTCAAACGTCGATCTTTTCATATCCAGCTAAAGTGTGTTTTAATTTCCACAGTAGCATTATAAACAGTTATAAAGACATTGAAAGGCGTGGGTATATTGTTAAAACAACTAAGCTTTTGCGCATGCGCACACATGTCAAATTCAATCGTCTCGAGTGTATTCCGTTACTTTGCAGCAAGGAAATAAACAATGTTTTCCGACTGCGATAAATAAATTTTGTTTCAGGGGCGTGCGTTACAGTTTTACGGCGACCAAGGGACATAACTCATATTCTCACTAAGAGTTATCTGCATTGATTATGGAAGCCGGGTAGATTTTGAAGCATTTATAACATATTTCCAAATGGTTATATCCTCAAAAATCAAATGTGGTCAGACTTCCATTGTTGATGAATGAAGTTTTTTACAGTAAGTCTTATCACATAATGTTAAAAAATAAGCCTGAAATAGTGTCTGTTTGTTGTAAAAAAAATCGAGCATGAACCACTCTATTAATGAGTAACATTTAATTATACGATTTAAACTAACCTGTATAGGTATTGCCCATAGATAATGTATAAAGAAGAATAATAACATAAGAAATAAAGAATCTACAGCTAGATGATTTATAATCTGTCCTACAGTCATCTTTCCACCACTTAATACTAACGTAGACATCTTTAACGCTTTATCATATACCATATTCTAAAATATATAATAAAAATTAATATTTATAATATAATGGCACAAAATACTACTTTTACCTCAATCACATAGTTTTCAACAATTTATATTTCATCTTGATGGTTCCAAATTTCTACTCAAGATCTAAGTGGGCCATTAAGAAAAGTTGTTACCAGCTGTTTTATGCTTCAAGACTTTAGTGAATTTATTAATAGATTAGGAGACGATGTCTTGGTGTGATTTTTTTTGATTTTTCCAATATTGTTGGATCTGGATAAGTTTTTAAATAAACAGTGTTCTGTTTGATGTGCAGGATTAGGCAATCAAGTGGTCTGTTTAGTCAAGCTTTGTGCAAACTGTGTTACACAATTCAGGTGGTAAGCTTTTGAGTGGGTGAAAACAAAATTCAAATAGTTTAGGTCTTTCTGTCATAGTTCTACTATTTCACCCCTAATGTGACCTCCTACGCAAACCGGTTAGATCTTCATTTTAAACAGATTGAGAATGATTGAAAGAGCAGCATTTTTAAATGATAAAACTTGTCACATTATGTAAAACGGAGTTTAGTCAAATATAAAAATAAAATACAGAATATAATAAAATAAAAAAAAAATAAAAAAGACTTGAAAAACATATGATTGGTACGTTTTTTTACCATGTTAATGGTCTAACAAAACAATCAGAATATTACTTCAGCTTTCTTCGCAAGAAAGAAGCTGGTACAAAGACTGTCACAAACAAATATAGCAACAGATACTTTATACGGATATAAAATGTACAGTTTAGTAAAAATTGAAGATTACCTGAACAGCTGTTCTTAGTCGTATACCCTCTCTAATTACTAGATAATGATGATTCTGTAATAATGTATTCTGTATAACTAATGCTAGGAACATGATAACAGTTAATACGTAACCATTCCAAATGAACTCACTAACTTTTACATGTGGTGATACCTGAAATAACAGAATATTTAAAAATATTACATCTCCTTATGATGATTTGTCTTTGAGTTTTATAAATAGTTTATTCAATGTTCGCTATAGTTCCTCTTATATTACATCACTTTGTCAAAATTTATCTTGATACAAAATCATTTGCATGTATTTACCTACCCTTTTCATTGTAGAATTGGGGTTACTTATGATCTCTCTAATATCATATGCATAATCTACGATATATTCTACAGAAACAGGTCCAACAAATGCTAACAGATCACCAATCAAACGATAAACTGCTGCCAGCAATAACATTTTCCAAAATGCTCTCAGGTAACTTTTGGTAATAGATGGCACGGCTCCCGGTTTTTGGCTGGCTTTAAACTAAAATAGATATTAAGAATTATTATAGATACATCACCATCTAATCTCAATAACGATTTTTCTCATAAAAGAATTACTAAGAAATGTCTTCAATGAATACAAAATAATTTGTGGCTGTCTTAATGTCACATTATAGATACTATATGTCTCTTTTTCAACAAGTGATTGTAAAGTATCATGTCAACATTAATACACTCACTATTATAAATATGTTCAGTAAATGGTAATCATATGAAAAAACAGATTTTGATAAATAGTAACAACTAATATTACTAGCCTTCTCTTGTTCAAAAGCATCTTTTAATTTCTTCAGTTGTGTTTCTGACCGTTCACTCTAAAATATTCAAATATTAAAAATATAGTATATATGTCTATATATTTATCAATTTACACAGTCAACTAACATTGTTATTGGAAACATATGGTACATGTATTAACAGCCATTAAATTGTATGATCAATTTAATTGTATGGGGACAATGTTCTGTAACAAAGGGCATCCGCCATAGTGTGCCATTGGAAAATTTTGCATGGACAGAGGCGCTATGACTTACTCTAATATTGAATTCGAACTGCAAAGGGTTCTTTTATGTGCATGTAAATGTGTACATGAGACCTTGTATTTCGTCCTATCTAACTGACTATATGTTGCCCCTTGGAGGCTCTCTGTTCTGCACAACTGACAAGGGGGAACCACGCCTGAAAGTCCTGATGAACTTTCTCTGCCAACACCAGGATCGAACACGGGACCTCCAGGTTAGCAAACCAACGTCCTACTCAAAGACCAATGCGGCTCCCCTTGATATCCATACAGCCTTAATATACATATAGACCGGAGGCTCAGAGCGCGGGGGTGTCCATCCAATGGGCACAAAACCAGACCCAACTTAACTATAGTAAAATTTTGCGTAGAATACGATGCCGAGTGGTAATCAGTCTGTCTTGGGCATTTTCGAGATATTCGGGTTAAAGGTCAAATAAGGTCATTTGCACTGAAAGTGAGTGCACAGCCATTCTTGTATCATGAAAATATGCTGAAAATGATCGAAAGTAATCACTCTTTCAATAAAAATGTAAACTTGCTAAATTCACCTTTGGTCTTAGTGACCCTGGAGGTCAAAAGGTGAAATTTACCATTTTTGCACTAGGAAGATTTAAAGCAATTAAATGTAAACGTAAAATATAAAAACTAATGAAGTTTTACTATAAAAATGTTGGGTCTGGTTTTGTGCCCATTTGATGGACACCCCTCCGCACTGCGCCTCCAGACTAATACGGTATGTATAAAGTGTATCTGAAATATGTATTATGCTGTTATATATATATATGATAAAGTGAAAGTGATGAGAGGTAGAATTAATGTTATAGATATTTAATGTACTATAAAGAGGTTGATAACATTCCTACTCTATCACAAGGTACATTAACAAGATAATAATTCATGGATGATGTATAATTTGACAGCTATGTTTTCACTTTCTTCAACATCTTACCTTAGTTAACATACAATTTTAAAAAAATAAAAATTATAAACAAACAAATTAATTACCACACATAAATATTTTACTCAGGTTACAGAAAGTAGTTCTATAAAAAAAACTTTGAATGAATCCAGAAATGCAGCATAAGCACATTTATCAAGTTCACATCCCTGATAAATGTCACTGACAATAATAAATGATACTGAATAATCATACATTCTTGTACATAATTAGATAAATGTAGTGAATTGAAATTTGATGTTTATAAGAAGTCATTTAGCCTTGACATAATAAAAACACAAAAATAAAAACCTCCCATCCCCATCAGATTTTTGGTAAGGATTATCTGAGAATCAGAATATTTTTTTTGTATGGTCTAACTAATCAGAATTATCTGTTTGTTTCAATGTATTTGATAGAAGTACTTTACTTAGCCTTAGCAACCATTAAGAAAATCAATATCATCTAATTATTCCACACTATATCATGTAATCTGTCAATATTTCTATACAAATAAATTGGTGTGAAAAAAGATTATCTTGGAATTGATAGTGACTTGGTCAGACAGTAGTGATACAACGTTATTTATTACCTTAAACATACATTATGCAAGATAGGTTCCCAGAAAAGTATTTATCGGGTGGTTATTTCCAATAAAAGTATGGCAATTTTGGTATATATGGCAAGTAGAGATATCCAATCTTACTAGAAAAATACTGGATTCCCTGAAAAACACCCATGGAGCGTATACAGGACAAAAATGTCAGGGTTCCCCTAATCGACAGCCCGACGATTAGGAATATCTGCACGCGTGATGTCAAACTTTATGAAGAGTTAGACGTACAACACTTTCTGAGATAAAAATCACGGAAAAAGACGCGGGCAGTGGATAATCCGAGAATTTAATTAGGATACGATATTTGTAATAAATAGTCAGCGATTAAAGACAACATCGTCTTGTGTATGCAATGAATACTCCTCCGACTTCGCACCCGTAAGTCACGTGACACAAACATGACCTCTTTTGATCGATTTTTTATAGCAAGGGTATTCCTTGAAAATTACAATGTTTTGAGAAGGATTTGAAGCAAATTTATGATAAATTAATTAGTTTGAATGTGCTTTAGGCCAAATATATCATCAAATCACCCAGTTTGTATGCGGGAATGTATCTTTAAGTAGATACTTTCAACTAAACATTGGTGAACATCTTGAATCACAGCATTTAAATTTAATTATAGTTGTCTTCATTCTCGGTATAGTCAGTGGTATTGTTCTGTTCTACTCCACTAACCTCTGGGTCCATCCACAGGGTTTTCACGAAATCAAATTATCTGCCTTGATCGTAGCTTGATTCTACAAACCAATCAAAAAACAGTTTACATACCAGTCTTAATGTCATTGTTTACGTTCACCACAATAATCTTAGTTGCAATAAAATGCACGTCACTTCCTTTCGCCCACTTGATTGGTCGATAAAATTAGCAGAAGTATCAAGGGTGGATAATCTGACTATGTGTCTCCCCCATGGATGGACCCAGAGTCCAGAGGTTAGTGGAGTAGAAGGAATGATACCACTGTGGATACCAGAATGAATTGTCTTTTGATTTATTTAACCATGTATCTCATTTAACCAGAGTAGATGATAATTATCAATGATGGTATGTTCTGTTGTAATTATTCTCTAGAGTGTAATACCTCTGGTAATTCTCCTAAATCTTCTATCTCTATAGGACGTTTATAACCTTCTATCATAATATCTGTTACCCACCAAAAAACAGCTTTAGATAATAAATTAGCATATGATTGAATATATCGTGTGTTTTCCAAATCTTCTGGAGCTTTCCTTCTTCTGGGATTTTTAAAGAGCGCATATCTCTGGAAAAAAAGAGAAAGCATTTCATGATTCTATGTGCATGAATCAATATCCAGTACAAAGAGAACAGTATTAATGACATTAAGGGTGTGGTCATGGCTAATGTGTCACAGATCACTTTTGATTTAAATGAAACAAAGTAGATTTAGTTTGGCAGGAATCAACAAGATACTTATCTAAGCCAGGTTTTGGTTTATTGCAACCATGAATGTTTGGGAATTGGATAGTTTTGTCACACTCACAGTCATGGATTTTAGTAAAAGCTTACATTAGGAATTTTGATCTTTTCACAAGTAGCATATATGAAATTGTTTATCATAATTAGCTTTCTTAAGCAGATATATAACAATTCCTAGTGTATGATTGAAGAGATGCAATTTGTCTGCAGAATTGAGACCAAGAAGCTGAGTTATATTGTCCCAAAAAGTGTGACGGAATGATGGACTGACAATTAAATATTTCTCTGCTCTCTTTGTAAGGCAGCAGAAAATAAAAGATATCAGCTAACTTACACAATGATGTTATTTGTGATTACTGTTTCTTAACTAAATCAAAACTACTGTAAAACATATAGTTAATGCTACATGAAATGAATGTGACCAACATGTTTAACATAAAGAATGGAATGGGCTTTAATTTTAATGACTTTAGTTTAATGTCTAGTCAACTTAATACTTCAGTCATTTGGTTGACAAAAGTTACGTTTTTATTTCTATGATTAAGTTGAGCATTCTACTTGCTACATGTAGCTTGAATAGTTACAGATTATATTAGTTTATGTCTTTTGAAGTGAATACAACTCAAACTTAAAGCATTTTTTTTGCATGTATTAATTTCGTACATGTAATCACAGCACTATCACAATATTTTTAAATTCACTAATTCAAATCTTGCAATATTAATTATGTGAAGATTACAAAGGAAAGGAACAAAATATTTAACATACTATTATGCATGTGAAAGTGACAACTTAAACTTTGAACTTCTATTATAACAGGGAAGGAAGAAGATCTATTTAAGCAATAAAACTCCACCCAAGAGATACATGTAATGAATAATTATTGATTTTAATGGTAGATCATATCAGTTTATTAAAAGGTCATCAACAAATTTATTTAGATTAACCTGTATTAAATTCCAACTGATCATTATACTGTATACCAGTACTTAAAATGTTGCATTTAACATTTACATACTGTATGTCATAAAATCAATACCAATACCAGTACAACTGGAAGTGTAACACTCACCATACATGTTCAGTATAATATATTGAATTGTTCATTGTTATTGAATTATTATTAAAAACTATTTGAGAACATAACACATTTAATTCTTATATTACATCAGTAATGTTTTAAAGGGTTGCCAAGAAACAATACATACACCCACAGTAGTTCAGTGTTTGAAACAGTCAATCAAATAATAACTTATAGGCCTATATGTTTCAAGGTGATCAAGGCAAGGGCAATAACACAAAAATCACTGAAAATAAATAGGCATTTATGTCTCATGGACATAAACACTATGCACAAATTTCAAGTCAAATCAGAGATAACTAGCTCTAAAGTGTCCACAGGCAATTCAGGACTATTTCTTATGTATGAAAGGGGGAAGCGAAAACATATCAATGGAGCATTAAAAGTCAGAAATAAAATATTACCTGAGCTCTTAGTACATTGAGTTCTACAAGAAACAGCAAGGCATATCCAATTATAACCATCCAACACAACCATAATCGTAGATCTTCTAACGTCATATTGTTACGATACACTGACATCAGTTTCAAGACTTTCAGGGCCATGGCGCCAGGCCAGTATACCATCAAAATGAGTAAGAATCGTGGAGAATTCCACATTTCCACATTGTGATAATAAACAATAGATATAATGGTTCCAGTAAAGGCGACACATTGAGGCACAAATGAGTGGTAGTTGACGGTATCCGGATCGTAGGAATCGGACACAAAACCTTCTCCAATTTCCACAATATTTATTAGCATAAGAGTTAGTGTCAACAACCACCTGACATTATGACCCTGAAAGTGCACCCATGTTTTGACATTAAGTTCTCCAATAATAGAATGATTCCACACAGTTACCACAAAAATACAAATCAGCAGTAATAAGGCATGGGGTATAATATTCATAACATCCACAAAACATTCATTGTGCACAACCCCTTTCTCCACGCTAAATGCATCTGAATCAGAACCACAGAAACCCATGATCAACTTCAGCTAACTTTACCTCATTGAGCTCCTACAACTCACAAATGTGCAGTGGTAGCATGGAGTCAATAACAAGATTACCAATATCGTATTTCACTTTATCTTATTTAATACATGTATATACAAGGCTATTTTAATGAGATTGATGTATAAAGTGATTCACATTGATGACAACTAATATCACAATAAACAGATAATAGAAGATGGATGTCACATGATAGATGAAAGTACTTCAGTTCATTTATAGTTCATGTCTATATTTCCTGAACAAAGTTTAATTCCATAGTCTGGATGGTGCAAAATTTTAATAATACATTGTCACCAATAAAACATCTGGTTACCGGTATCTGAAAGAAATATATAATATTATACATTGTATTACATCATTGACACTTGTAATTACTGGAGATGATCAATTGCAACAAGAAATACTAGACCAAGTCAATTTCATCAGCTGATGATTTCATGGCTTGGAACAAGAACAAGAGACATCTATGGTGGCCCATGGTCGCAATAGCGTTTTTTGGGTTACTTTTGGTATTTCATTTAAAATAATAAAAATATTAGTACAAAAAAAAAAAAAAGAAACATTTTTTTTTTTTTTACAAAATAAAAAAAAAATAATCTTTTAAAATTTAAAAAAAAAAATCTTTTTAAAAATTTAAAAAAAAAAAAAATCTTTTTAAAATGAAAAAAAAATAATCTATATATAAAAAAAATAATAAAATATATTTTAAAAAAAATAAAAAAGAAATAATATTAAAAAAAAAATTAAATGAAAAAAACAAATTGAAAAAGAAAAGATAAAAAATAATTCTCGACGTGGCCCATCGTCGCAATAGTGTCTTGAGTATCCAGACCCAGTATACAGCTATCATTAGACTAGAGCGACCAGAAACATTTTGTGGCCCATTGTTGCAGTAGTATCTCGATTATCATGTGTGGGATCTATGAAGAACGTATAAACTCGAACGACAAGAAACGAGTCTGTAGTTATCTCACGTCAACATAATTGTAGATACTTCAATTTTGATTGGCTAAGCACTAAAATAAATCTAATATTATGTATTATCCAATCAAATACTAAAATTTGAATTTTATCTTAGTAAAACAGGCCCCAGACGAAGTCCACGTAGGCTATCATGCTCTATTTTGTCTTTGAAATTGATGTTGTGTGCCATCGCACTTTCGCACCTCTTACCCGTTCCTGTGGTCGTAGCGGGGGACTAGCGATGACCTCAGGGAGAGCAGGGGTTTCACAAAAACTGAAGCTAAAATCACTAACATAGATTTTAAAATCAAAGTGAAATTTTAAATTTATGCGTTTCACGAAGATCGATTGTAACTTAAAATTTAATTTTAATAGATTTTAGTTAAAATTACTTGTGCCTTGATGTGAGGTAACTATAGACTCGTTTCTTGTCGCTCGAGTCTATACCATACGTTCTTCATAGATCCCACACAGGGTAATCTGAACGACAGACCCACGATGTTTGACAGGTCACCCTACTCCTTGTCACGTACAACCGGGGATTCAAAATCACGCCAGTTGACTCAATGACGGGCTTTATGATATGACAGGCTTTATGATACAGCGCGCACGTGCTAACCATTCGCCTCCCCCCCCCCCCCGGCTACTTAGTAGTAGTAGGCCTATACTTCGAGGATTAGTTTCAAAGTTGTTAACTACTTTTGAAATTCAACCTCAGGGAGACCAAGTGTTTTAAAAACATTACATAACCTTTTGGGGGGGGAATAGGCCTTGCGCACTAGTAGGCCGAATGGTGTCATTAAAGTCAATGACTTTAAACGTCATTATGTATGTAGGCCTAGTTCTAGTTAGACTGGATAAACTAGTCTAAATGACGCTAGGCTTCTATAGTCTATTAATTATACATTTCTATTGACTTGCATATGTATAAATACATATATCCAAGTCCATAGACGTCATGGGTGGAAAAATTGTGTTTCACGTGTTGATGTCTGTTTACCTTTTTCCTTTCGGAAGGGGAGATAACTACAAACTCGTTTCTTGTTGCTTGAGTTATGCCACATAGGATAATCGAGACACTATAGCAACAATGGGCCACGAGATATTTCTGGTCACTCGAGTCTAATGATAGCTGTCGTAGGCTGATTTTATACTGAGTCTGGATAATCAAGACTCTATTACGACGATGGGCCACGTGCAGAATTCTTTTTTTGATTTTTTCTATTTCACTTATTTTTTTTTTTTAATTAAAATGTTATTTTTTCTATAGATTTTTTTAATCTTAAATATTTTATTAATTTTTTTTATATAGATTTTTTTTTATTTTAAAAAGTTTTTTTTTTCTTAAATTTTAAAAAGATTTTTTTTTCTTTTTAATTTTAAAAAGATTTTTTTTTCTTTTTAATTTAAAAAGATTTTTTTTTCTTTTTAATTTAAAAAGATTTTTTTTCTTAAATTTTAAAAAGATTTTTTTTTTATTTTGTAAAACAAAAGAAAAAAAAAATGTTTCTTTTTTTTTACTTTTATTTTTTATGATTTTAAATGAAATACAAAAAATAGCCCCAAAAACGCTATTGCGACCATGGGCCACCATAGACATCAGTTCAAGGATTATTTGATTAAATTTGCCGCTGAGATTCAGTTATTTTGAATTTGAACAAGTGATTTGGCTTGATCTAGCTGTCTTCATACGTGTATATTATCATCAAATGCTAATAGAACAACATATATTTTCTTGACAGTCATGATCTTTAATACAATACTAAATTCATTTCAGCTGAAAAACATATCCAAACTACCAAGAAAAATGGCCAAAAACACAATATCTTTCAAGATACTGTGTGTAAAACTTTAACAATCAACAATTTTAATATAGCTGCCATTATGTATTACACTTACAAAACAATGAATGGACAAGTGCCTGGTAAATTATATGTTATACATAACTAGTAAACTAGCAACATCAGACTTAGTGGACGTACATCAGGCTTAAGTTAAGAATTTACTCAACTTTCAATCACCGTTTATGAGAAATACATGTATCTTTGATCCAGAAAAACAAAACTTTGCACATAGTTTCTTATTAATGTATTTGATACATTGAAACAACACAAGTTTTATAAAGGGCTATACTTTAGTTAAAATAAGGCGAACAATTTTGAGTAAATTCTTAACTTAAGTCTGAGAATACTTTGTGAACTCTGGGCCAGGACTTTAATAAACATACCCAGTCAAATGTTGAGACACAACTTTTGCCTAACTATAATTATTATTGGTTAAATTAATTAATCAAGCATTAAGCTGTATATTTCACTGATTTTGACAGTTCATTCAGATAGTTATGATGCACTATACATGTACCAACCAACCAGAGACAGAAATACTGTTACTGACGATAAGTCAATGCACCTCCTTCAATTTGGACTAGTTATGAAAATTGAACTGGACATTGAATGGCTAATATATACAAACAAAACAAAAACGAAAAAATCTGGAAAATTCTGAAAAAAACATTCCTGAATCTAATTACCAAAAAAATCTGAAAAACTCTTAACCGAAAAATTACAAAATACCGAAAAACCAATACTAATTACTAAAATATTAGGGACCCTAACCCATGACCCACAATGAGTCCCCCTCAACTTTTATAAGTGGCTTAGCCTGACACATGACCTATCTACAGTGCCCCACAAATCTTATGTGTGATCTAGCATGATCCATGACCATCCTAGAGTGTCCCACTGTATTTACGTGTGTCCTACATGTAGCATGACCCATTACCCACCTAGTCTAACAATGACCCACATACATGTACAGTGCCCCACAAGTCTTATGTGTGACCTAGCATGATCCATGACCATCCTAGAGTGTCTCATTATATTTATGCGTGTACTAGCATGACCTATTACCCACCTAGAGTGTCCTACAATTTTTGGCGCTAATGCACTTTCGTACATGTAGTACTTGCCATGGTCGTAGAGACTTGAAATTTGCTGAGGGTGTTCAGGATGTCCAATTGTGATCTCACACCAAATTTCAGACCAATCGGTCAATAACTTTTGATTTTACACAACTTTTACTTCTCCCATTTTCTGACACACAGAGCTTGTCGTGCGGCCATGTTGTTTACTATTGAGACTCGAATACCAAGACACTAAATTAATATGACTTGCTGAACACCAAGCAGGCTTCTACCATCACTGATCATAAATATTAATATTAATAATACTAATAATAATAATACCGTAATAATAATAATAATAATAATAATAACAATAATAATTTTTGTCATTTTGTTAAAGCGATAATTTCATATTTTCTAAGAAAATCAAAACATAATTATTTCTATGTCTTTTGCTCAATAGGTTATCAACTCACTATTATACGACCATGGGCATTATTTCCCACCCTTAAAAATCATTGACACAGGAAATAATAACACAATTACCTCCCTTGTTTTCCTATTGCCTCCATGCATTAGCTACCTTCAAATGTTGGAATTTGAAGTTGAAAATGATAATTTTGCCAATTTCTCAGCTGGCAATAGTGACTTATAGGATTAATAGGATTATTCTTTAACAAGGTAGGACGGTTTATGGATACCATCTATTTTAAGGCTTTATTTTAATAAATTTTAAAAATATAACTTAAAAATATGAAATTGCAGCTTTAAGTAGCTGTTCTTTACGAATATAACTAGCCGCAGTAGCTCAATGACAAAGTGCTGGTTCAATAATCAGACGGTTCGATCCTGATTTTTGATGAAAACAGTTGTTATGCATGAGACCATGTCACATACCTCGATGGTCTCTTTATCAGGTGTAATGCATGAAATTATGTTGTATACCTCGATGGGCTCTTTAACAATTTTAATACATGAGACCATAATATAGCACCTTGATGGTCTCTTTAACAGTTGTAATAGATGAGAACATGTATTGCTAATGCACTTTCGTACACCTAATATTTCCCGTGATCGTAGAGTCTTAAGATTTGCTGAGGGTGTTCAGAGTCACTGATTATGAACTCGCACCAAATTTCAGACGAATCAGTCAATAACTGTTGATTTCACACAACTTTTCTTAACTGTTTGAAGGTGTACCTTGATGATGGTTTCTATACCATTTAATGCATGAGACCGTAATATATCACCTTGATGGTCTCTTTAACAGTTTTTATATATGAGACCATATATTGCTAATGCACTTTCGTACACCTAGTACTTCCTGTGATCGCAGAGACTTTGCTGATGGTGTTTAGGGTCACTCATTATGAATTCACACCAAATTTTTGACGAATCGGTAAATAACTTTTGATTTTACTCAACTATTCTTTAACAGTATGAATGCGTACATG